CAGTGAAGTTTGACACATCGATTGACTCTTCAGAGTGGATTAATTTTAAATATATACCCACAATTAATTGCTTAGCATGTTTCCAACTCAGGCACAGTATCTTTGGTTCTTAGGTGTTCCCTTTAGTTGTATTTACAGCTGACCCTAGAACAACAATGGGGTCAGTAGCACCTGATCCCTCGGAAGTCAAACATCTGGTTTAACAATTCACTCACACAAAACTTAATTACTAAATAGCCAAATACTGACCAGCAGCCTTAAACATAACATGAGCAGCCAATCCAAACATATCCATAACATAATGATTAACACATTTTGTGTATTATATACTGTATTCTCACAATAAAGTAACCTAAACAAAAGAATTTTTTTCAAATTGTTACAAATCTCTAAAGAAATTTCCAACATTTTTATTGAAAAAAAAAGCTGCTTGGACCACACTATTCAAAACCCTGGGGTTCAAGGATCAATGGTGGTCATTCATCACCCAACGCCTCTCCACAATTTCTTAGCACTCTCTTCTCCCTCCCGGTTTTAATTTCGCCCACATCTACACCTCCTTTGCCATGCAGCTCCACACTTTCCAAGCCCGGCCTAGTGCCCCCTGGCTCCCCACCCCAGGTGAGGCAAGCCTGTGTCTCCACGGACGCCTAAATGCGGGCACCCTGGCTCAGGGGCCTGCTTACGTACCCAGGTGCAGGAGTTCGGAGGCGATGGCCTTTCCAATGCCCGTGCCCCCGCCGGTGACTATGGCCAATTGGTTCTGCAGCAAGCCGGCCGCCAGGAAGCTCTTGGTCTTGGCCCAGGAGCCCATGGCCGCAGGTGTGTGGGTGGCGGGGGCGCAATACAGCTTGGGTCACGCACTGTGCCCGGGGACTTAGAGGCGGGCGGGGCTAAGAGCGCCCTCCCACGTGACTCAGGCCCCGCCCCCTCCTGTCACGTCGCCCCGCCCTCCCGCCGCAGTACCGCCACTGCCGTCCAGCTAAGGACACTCCCACACCGGGTCTGCATCCTCCGCCAGCCTCTGTCAGCCGCCGAGTGCAGGTGAGACTCCTGATTCGTTGTGCTTTTTAATTTTTTCCGATGCCATGGGCGGCAGGGGGCGGGAAGGAAGCAGACAAAAAGCGGGAGTATGCTCTATTTTGAACAATTCATTCTTCAGTCCTATTGCTCTCACGGTTAAATAAAATTAAATCTCCTGGGCATGTGGGAAAAGAGGCTGCCCCTCGGGAGCCTTGCTGAGCCCGCCCGCCTGCCCCGGGCTCTGGCACCAGTTGCTGTGCGCGGCTGACTGATAAGGGAAGGGGCTGGACTAGCTGAGGGGGAAGAAATCCGGCTTCCAGATCCTTTTATCTTCCTGAAGGCACCCTGGGGATGGGAATAACGGGGGAGGAGATACAGTTGCAGTTATCCACAGAACCAAAATAGTAAGTGATTTTAAAAATAAGCCCGAGCCCACCAGCCACCTCATCTCCCTTTCCCTAGCCAGGAATGAAGGAAAGAAGCGCCCTTTACCAGATTTGAGACCTGATCCATTTCAGCCACGCTGCATGAATGGATGAGTCCAAAAGAGGCTCTCCTTGAAGGGTGCATGTTTCCTTTAAGACGCATTTGTAGGTGTGTGCTGGAGATCCTATCCTCTACTTCATTCGCTGTGCAGGCGAATGAGTCCATTGAGGAAGGAGGAAATTTCCCATCCATGTTTTGGTGCCCAGTGATATGATTTATTATTCAGATTTTCCTGTTGTTATTGCTTCCTGCTGTCAACCCACCAGACAGATCACACCTGTGCTGCTACTTCACCTAGGATCTTGGCAGGTCTAGACCATGTGTCAAGTGCTGTCTGTGGTCTTAACAATCCAGGCAGGATGCTATTTCTAAGTCTGTTGTCAGTACTGTATTTTCCCTTGCAAGACATTAAAATAATGGTAAAAGCAAAATTTAAAAAGCATTCTTATCCTGGGCTCACCACCTAGTTATTCACAAAGCAATCTGGAAATGGGTCTTGTTGAGAGTAGAATCAGACATCACTTCCTCCCTGTTCCTCCAATCCCCTTTCCTTTCTCTGAGCCCCTTTAAGAAACACTTGCCCCTCTATCTTTGCTGCTGACAGATTCCAGTCTATACTCCATAAAGAAGAGAAGAAATCTCTTCTGCCTTGCATTTGCCACATAGTGCTTTAATCCCAATGACAAAGTATTTTATTTAAAATAAGAAGAGAAATATTGACTCGGTTCTGAGAGATTTCTTATTCCAGAAAATTCTAGGATTTCTTCCTTGGGAGAAAGGAACATTTAAAATTTCTTTTAAACATAATTTTATCAGAGATTTTGGTTAATGTGGTTTGTGACCTGGTCTGTACCTGTGGATTCATGCTGGTCTGCCAGGGCAGGTCACTGCGGGCCTTGCTGTACCACAGCCTTTGTGTGGCAGCTGAATGGATTGAGACAGGGACTGCCTCATCCTACAGTGAAACGGTGACCGTGATGGCCTTAAGCCAGTTTTGCCTGCTGAGGATGACAGGGAGCCATTCCTCAGCTGCAACACAGTTGCAGAAAGCTCTTTTTCTCAGTCCAGGAAAAGCCTGTGATTAAGAGAGATGTGGAATCTCCTTGAGAGATCTTCTATTAAAATGAAAAGGCTTGTCCTCTTGGCCTCTGCCTCTGACCTCAGTCAGGGTTTGAAAGCCTGCTGACCCTAAAAGGCCTGGAGGCACAGCAGTAGTTCTGCTTCTTGGAGGCTCTTTGTTTCCAGATTTCAACTCTCCTGGGGAAGCCATCCCTTCTCAGGGTAACCATGCTACACTGCATCAGCAGCTCCTTTGGCTGAAGCAAATGCTGCCCTGCACTCTACATCACTGCCCCTTTGTCCTGGGGGGAAATGGCCACAGCCGTGGTCCTTCCACACTCCCCTGTCATACCCACTAGCAGTGACACCCATCATCTTCTGGTTGCACTTGCTGCTCACACATCTTCCCACCCCTCCCCCACCCCATCTGCCCGTAACTTCATTTTCTCCCCTCTGCAGAGCAGCTGCTGGCTCACGCTCACAGAGGCCTGTGGGATCCTCAGCGTTCAGACTCCCATACTCAGTGCAGAAGGGATGTCAGTGAGGCATCTAGTCCTGCCCCACACTGAAGAAAGAGCCATCCAGGACTAACTCACATAAATAAGACTCCTAACCAGTTCCCAGTATTCAGCCAATACTTATTGAGTACTTGCCACATGCCAGGTACTGTTCTTAGCAGGAGGGATGCAGTACAGTGGACAAGACAGTTGGGTGTTCCTGCCTTTGTAGAGTTTTATTTTAACATGTATGCGTGTCAGCAGTGGGAATGGGGGGGTGGAAGACATGTGCCATGAGAGGTAGGGCAGTAAGCCAACAAAAGACCAGACAGTGAAGATCAGATCATACAGCTCTTACAGTAAGTAAGGGCTTAAGCTCCTTGTAACCAACTACTACCCTTGCAATCAGGAACTTTTTATTTTATTTCCTCTGTAGACAGTGAGATGTCTCCAGATGATGAACCAGCCTCGGTGTGAGAGCCTTTCCCTTTTCAGGACCAGGTAGGTTGAACAATGACCAGAGAAATGCCACTCACATGACCAAGAAGGAATCAGCTGTAGCCTAACTCACAGCCAGCTCACGGCGATGGCAGGAGGCTGGGAGCTGCAAGGTGTTCCATCACTGTTCCCATCACTCGACACCAGTTGGAGCCAGATTCCTTTCTATCTTTATGCTGGTGAAATGCTGCGTAACTAAGCACTAAGAGAATATAGTACAGATGACAAATGCTACAGAAATACAGAGTGGAGAAGGCAAACGAAAGCAATTGGAAACTAACACATGTGATTTATTGATCCGTGCTATGCATCTTACACTGAGCGCTCATTTCATTCTCACCACACTCCTGCAACCACAGATCTGCAGTGGGGGAGAGACGGGTGTGGGCTAGGGTAGTCACACAGTGGGCGCGTGGGCCTGTCTTGAGCCAGGCTTGCAAGAGGTGAGAAGAGTGAAGGAGTTGAAGGAAGCAACATGAGTAGATGTGTTGACTAGTCATGACAAATTGCTGCTGAACCCTAGGATGGGGCATGAATACGGAGAGCCTCAAACATGAGGCAGACCCTTTAGATATATTTTAGTCAGAAATGGCAAGAGAGTGATGCCTACTGGACAGAAGAAAAATGATGGATTTTTGTTGTTGTTGTTGTTAATCACCATTTAAAATGTTTGAGGAAGAATTCTGAAATACAAGGCAGAGAAACCAGCTTGGAAGTGGTAGTGAGAAGGCTATTTTCCAGCATATGATGGTAGTAGAATTCAAATGAACAGATTAACAAGGACATGTTATGGGAATGATTGGCAGGACTTGGGGAATGATTAGTATTAGATGCATAGAAATATATGCCTAATGTAGGAAATAGATTCATCAAAGACTACTCTAGAAATACCAATACAGAATCTTGGATAAATGTTGGCAGGCAGCATGGCAGGGTGAATAGAACATGGGTTTTGAAATTAGCAAACCTGGGTGTAAGTCCCAGCCACAACCACTATGTATCCTTGAGTAAATTACTCCTCTAAATGGGGAAAATAATAGTACCTGCTTCTGGTTTTGCTCTGTGGGTTAAGCAATATGACTGCTATTGAGCACTTAGAACAGCATCTGGCAACTGTAAACATCTGGTAGGTTTTAGTGGTTACTATTATTTAGACCAAATGTCCTCATTGCAAAATAGTACTTGCTTCACAAGATGATTGTGCCTAGATCACTGGTGTGATATCTGGCACATAGTACTGGTCCAAAAAATATTTATTTAATGTGTAATTAAATGGGGTGATATATGTATAAGTGACTAACAGAACACAAATTATCAATCAGCCAATGTTATCCTTTAGAAGAAGAGGTATTCCATAGTGTTGTGGAGTTTCCTTCTCCATCTCCTCCTTTCCTTCGCCCCTTCTCCTGTCCTCTTAGTAACACTGCAAGGTTAAGGTTGCTGGAAATAAAGATAAGAGTTTGGTTTGAATATGCTTAGCCAGAAATGATGGGATATTTAGGTGGTAGAAAATATCCACTGGGCTTCTGGAAATATGGGTGATCTATTAATTCCTGACATCTAGAATGGGGCATTCTTGGAATACAATTATCCTACAGATGTAGGCAGGAAGGGTAAGTATGTCAACAGGAGGAAAATAATGTGCTGTTGAGAATAAAGGGTCGTGGATTAAGAATTACATCTCAAAAGCATGGGACTATGGACCAGAGAAGATAGATAAGGGAGTGAAGGAGACAGAAAGAGGATTTGAGAGGTAGCAAGGGAATGAGGATAGAAAGTCACAGGAGGTGAGGGAAGGCTCAAGAAAGACTTGGAAATAGCAGGCTCAAAGGCTCTGGTGTGGACAAGGAAAATAAGAAAGGTGAGATGGTCCCTAGGGCCACACTGATGACTCTCAAGGTTGTATTCCACACAGAAAAAAGTATCTCTGTCACAAAAGGAAAGAGGAATGGGGTCAGGACAGTAAAACACAAACAAATCAGCTGTCCACCGTAGACACTAACATTTGACTTCTTCTAAATCTTGGTGGGAAAATTCTGGGCTTTGGAGTTACGCAAGTAGGCTTAAATCCAGGTTCTCTCACTTCTTTAACGTGGATAATAAGCCTAATGTGTCAAGTGAGGAGACTAAAACCTACTTAACATGCTTATTGAAACATGCAAATATGGTAACATGTATGAAGAATTTAGCCCACAGCCTGGCCGATAAAGCTTGGTAAATACTAATTTCCTGGTCTTTTCCTCACCTTTCCAAATGGTCTACCTTTATGCATAAGAGGAGGGTGTGTGTGTATGTGTACATTTTGGAAAGGGGTATGGGAGTAGGGAGATAAAGATGGTAAAAGAGGGAGCAGGAGATTGAGAGGAAGAAGTGGCAATGAGTGGCTGTAGACTATTTGATAAAGAAGCTTGGTTGTGAAATGAGAAGTATGGGACATTAGATAGAGTAAGTGACAAGGTAAAGCTGTATTTTCGAGATAGGGAATTGTGGGTTTGTTTGAAGGCAAAACCAGGGGAGGAGAGAACTTGGAGCAAATGGAGAAGGATGAGGAGGCAATAGGATCAAGAGTAGAGACGGAGTGGTCAAGAAGAATATCTGATCCCATATCACTCGCTCTAGGGAAGCTAAATACTATATGAGGACATCCAGTCAGCCGGTGGAAGGGCCCACCTGAAGAGGCACTGAGTCAGCACCATGTGAGTGTGCTATCTTGGAAATAGATCCTTAACCCCATTCAAGCCTTCAGAATACTGCAGCCCTGTCTGATATCTTTAGAGATCTTGAGACAGAGCCACCCAACTAAGGCACTTTTATATTTCTGCCCCAGAGAAACTATTCACAGGAGAGCCACAGGTTTTTAAGAGAATTATACTGACAGAATGCTAAAAGGTTCAGAGATCATACAAAAGGAAAAAGGCCTAGGACCCCAAATTCTACATGTAGGAAGCAAACCAATAAGACTAATCACCACCCAACTGAGACACTCCCAGATTCCTGACACAAAGAACTGTGTGGGATAATGTATGTTTATTGCTTTACACTGTTAAGTTTCGGGTGATTTGTTACACAGCAATAGATAACTAATATACCTTGTTCTGAGATACTTTTGATCTTACTTCAGCCTCACAGCTAACAAAATTGAAAAGTTCCCACAAATTTAGGAAGCCTGCTTGTTTTGTAGCCATGATAACAAGTAGCCACCAGAAATAGTTTTAAATCTCTTTCATCAGGAACTTCCTATGTAAATACACTTTTGAAAGCCAGCCTATCAGTAGCAGCCTCTGGCTTCTGAAAGTCAGCTTATCAGGGGCAAAGTCAGTCACCTGACTGACTTCTAGAAATGAGGGACTGACTCCCAGTAGTTGGTTTCCAAAAGCATCTTCACTGAGGGAAGTTCTTGATCAGCTAACACTTTTATAACCGATTCTGATGGCTACTTTTTACCATAGCTACAAAACAAATCATCTTATCTAAATTGGTAGGAACATTTTCTTTCTCAAAGGGTAATGTTCACATTGTAGGGAGATGAGAGATATCCTCCTTTTGTAACCGCTAATGAATGAATGGGTCTAGCCAATCAGTGGTTATCAATGGCTGCTAATTTCACACACAAGAGACAGGTAACCATCAGGTGCCTTCTGATGGAAGTACAAACACCTTCTATAATGCTTGCCAAAATAACAACCAAAAACATCCCATTCCAATCTGAATCCAAGCCTCTATTTAGCTACCAGTTTATAGGAAATACATTATCCATAAGAATGCACTATGGGGATGCAATTAACAAAATGTAGGCTGTGAGAATCTGCAAGATAAATGACCTACTTCCTATAACAAATTGCAAGGAAAAAATTGCAGAGCAAACATACAGACTTGTGCTGTCCAATATAATAGCCAGTAGCCACATATGGCTATTTAAATTTAAATTGTTTAGAATTCAATAAAAATAAAAATGCATTTCCTTAGTTGCACTAGCCTCATTTCCGGTGTGATGGCAGAAAGGTCTATTGGACAGTGCTCACACAGACAGAGGTGTACAATCTGTTTGCATTGTCTTACCTGTTTGCATTGTCGGTAACTTCTTTGGATCCTAATCCAAAAAGATAGACTTTAAAATGCTAAAGAGGGAAATTTGAACTGACTGGGTATTTGATGACATTAAAGAAATGTTTTAAAAATAGGTGTGGTAATGATATTGTGATCATCTTTTCTAAAAAAGACAGTCCTTGTATGTCAGAGGTACATAATAACAGAGCTACAGATGAAATGAAACGCTGTCTGAGATTTGCTTTTGAATAAATGGACTGTAAATATTTCAATTATTGTTGAAACTGGGTAAAGGTACAGCAAGGGTTCATTGAAACTGTTCTCTTTGCTCTTATATAAGTTTGACACTTTCTATAATAAAAAGGTTCTCTATTTCCATATGTTTCAAACTTTCCATAATAACACATTTGTTTTGTTTTATTTTGTTTTTTTCCTTAGGAAGCCAGCTGCCTAAGTATGACTAGAGGGATATTTGCTAATCTGCACCTCTTTGACAGCACTCAAAACTTTTCTCTCCTCTTAATGGCTCAATGTACCAAGAACATGGTCCAATCAGTGTCTTCTTTAAAAGAGTTATGTAGACTCTCTTCTCTCCCTACCTCAATTTACCTGAAGAAAAAAAAGAGGAGAGAAAGAGTTAAGAGTGAAAACTGTGTGTTCCCTCCACTGGTCTCCCAGCATGTGATAGGACAAATCTCAGGAATTTTCTGGGATCTTGGACCAACAAGAAGCCAGAGACAGGTGTCCTTTACAGAATACCAGCGTAGATGGGGTTGGTGAAGTTGCACCATCACTGGGTGGCTTACTTAAAGTTACATTAATCCATTTGGGTATAGTTATAGATTATGACTTGACAGCCAGGAGCCTGGAGTACTGGTTCCAGCCTTATAAAAATCATCTACGGTGGGAGTAAGAATGGTTCTTAACTTCCCTTTATAAGCCTTCCTCACCCAACTTCTTTACATTCGGCATCCCCCAGCTAGACTGATGGGTTTTACATAACATAATATGTTTGTGTAAATGATAAAATATTATTGCAACACAAATAAAATTTTATTCACAACAGTCTGTTCCCAGTAAAGTATTTCCACAGCACTCCTAAAATATAGTGTTGTGAAAAGTAGAAAGAGAAGACTTCTGCCAAGGTAAGGCTCATTTCCCACACCCATGTCCATCTCACCCTATGGACTCCCTCTTGATGGCTTTGCCTTCCTATTTTTCAAGTGGAACTCATCATTGGGTCATCTTTGCTAAACACCATCTGGGAAGAAGCTCTGGCATGTGTGGATCGTGAATTTGCTCAGGCAAATCAGACTTCACAAGGAATAATTGGACGTGAGGCCTAGGATGGAAGAGCCAGCACCAGTGGAAGGCCAGGGCCAGCTCCCAAGCCCCCACCAGGGCTCTCTGAGAAAGGCCGTGGCTGCCGCCCTGGCCCTGGATGGAGAATCCACATTGGGTCGCAGGAAAAAGAAGAAGAAGGAGTCCCGCCCAGAGTCTATCATCATCTACCGTTCAGAGAATGAGAAACTGGGTGAGGAGCCTGAGGAACCAGAAGGCAGAGACCCGCGTAAAGAGGAGGAGGGAGATGACTTCCTGGACTACCCTGCAGATGATGGTAAGTCTCTCTGGGGCCACTTGCTTAAAGCCATGGGAAGGAAACCAAGTGAGGATCCTCCAGGAGACAGGCATTTGCTCACTGACCTGTTTTTTCTTGTTGATACATTTCTTCTCACAATGTTGCAGTCTTCATTCAGCAAATGGGGAGTATTTATTGAGCGTTTATTATGTTCTCCTCTAGGTGATATGGAGGAGATCACTGTCCTTTTGGAATTCCTAGTGTAATGGATAAGACCTATTTATACACAAATATTAGTAATACAAGCACACTATATAATTATTTAATACATGCAAGATAAAGAAATAATAGTTTGCTTTCATAATAAGCAGGAAAATACAAATTTTAACGAAAATGAGTTATAGTATTCCTTCACATGTAGTAAGGCCAAAATTGAGTAAAATATGGTAACATCAATGTGAGGAAATGGATATACTTTATACCTACCTTTCAGGTGGAAGTGGAATCCACTTTTAATCATTTTGTAGAGAAATTTGTCAATATTTATCAAATCCAAAACACACATATCTGGTATCCTAGAAATTGTCAATATCTATCCCAGATGCCTAAGGAGGCATGTGTAAGAATATCTGTTGCTGCTAATGAAACCATGGGGCGTCCATATGAGGTGTCATTGTGCAGCAATAGACAGATGGGATGGATGTATTTGCTTATGTGGATCGATCTCTAAGATCTATGCCCACAGTGAGCAAGACAAGCAACAGCCCTGCTCCCAGACAGTGCACCTTTAGTTGAGGGAAGACAGATGGTGAGCAAGTCAGCAAATGCAAGATAATTTCAGGTGCTAGTATGAGTTCCAAAGGCAATAAACCACGGTGACGGGAAGATGAGGAACTGGTGGGAGATGTTGGGGGAGAGATTGTCAGTCATGCAAGACCTCTCTGAGGACAATGATGTTTGAACTGATCCAAATGACACGAAGGAGCCAACCCTGAAATGATTTCAGGCTGATCTTTGAGAGGTGGAGGAATAGCAAGCACAAAGACCCTGTGGTGGGAGCCCCACTGGCTCATTCATGGAGTGGAGTGATTTCTGTGTGGAGTTAGAGAACAGTGAGAGGAGGACAGAGAGGTAGGCAGGGGCCAGATCATGTTGGGCCTTGCAGGTCACAGTAAAGAATCTGGGATTTGTTAGAAATGCAGGAGGAAGTCAGTGGAGGACATTCAAGCAGTGAAGAGGCATCATCTCATTTATATGCCTCGGGCTTCTTACCTGATTCCAAGGGGTAAGAGTGGAAACTGATGAGACTGTTGGGCCACTGCAGCCACAATGGCACAATGTGGAAGTCTGGGCTAGGGTGTCGGTAGGAGAGAGAGCTAGAGGGGAGAGGCTGGGTTCAGAGTGCATCTTGGAGCTTGCTGATGGATCAGAGGTAGGGAGTGATGGAAAGAAAGGAGTCAAAAATGATGCCTGGAGTTTTGAGAGGAGCAACAGAAAGCATAGATGATGGTATCATTTACTGAAATGAGGGAGACTGAAACCATTAGGTTTTGGGGGAACAGTACAATACTTCTATCTGGGCAATCAGAGTCCTTACCACTTTCCTGGTCCCTGCCCGTTAGATGGCTCCATCCTATCCCTCTTCCAGCCATGGGACAAGGAGTCAGATAGGGTCTAGGGGACATGTCAACCTAAAGCCTCCCCTGCCTCCATTTCTGGACCACATTTCACATCACTAAGGACTGCAGACTTCCCTTTTCAGTATTTCCAACCTCACTGCCAGGGCTGTTTGTTGGTAGTGGTGTGTGTCCGTGTTTGTACAGTTTGCATATGAGGGCTGGAATGTCCACAGCCATGTGAGGATGCCTCCTCTCAGGGAAATACAGAGACAGGAATGAGAAGGGAAGGGGAGTGAGCTGCCTGCCGTCTGTATAATACACACACAGTACGGTCTCCACACACATTGGTGGATGCTCGTAAACAATATTCTCACAGCACTTGTAAACTAGGAATAAAATGATTATAAAGTGATATCTGTAAACTTCCTCACACCCCTCCATATCACAGAGATTGTGCCAAGATAAATGGATAAAGAACATGAAAAGCAAGTTTAACCTGCTTCACAGTTTTATCAGGGCCCAGACTGTGGGGGAAGAATTCACAGGGGGAGAAATAATACCAGGGGTTCCTTTCCTGAGGGAGACACATTCAGACCATCATTGAGCCACTGCCCCCAGGGCTGTGCCAGATGCTACAAAAATGGATGCTCAGACTCAGGGGACAACACTGTGCTGAAATGTTCACTCTTGTAATCTTGATTTCACCTCCTTTATGCCCTGCAGGTATGTGGAATATGCCTTTGGACAGTTGCTATGTCACATTAACTGGGACCATCACACGGGGGAAAAAAAAGGGTCAGGTGGTGGACATCCACGTCACACTGACAGAGAAGGAGCTGCAAGAATTGACCAAGCCTCCAGAGGCAACAAGGGAAACAACACCGGAAGGCAGGAAGGCCTGCCAAATGGGAGCAGACCGCGGGCCCCATGTGCTCCTCTGGACCCTGGCTTGCCTGCCAGTGGTGTTTATCCTCTCCTTCGTTGTCTCTTTCTACTATGGCACGATCACCTGGTACAACATCTTCCTTGTGTACAATGAGGAGAGAACCTTCTGGCACAAGATCGCATGTTGCCCCTGCCTCATTCTCTTCTATCCGGTGCTCATCATGGCCATGGCCGCTTCCCTGGGCCTCTATGCTGCTGTGGTCCAGCTCTCGTGGTCCTGGGGAGCATGGTGGCAAGCTGCCCGGGACATGGAGAAAGGCTTCTGTGGCTGGCTCTGCAGCAAGCTGGGGCTGGAGGACTGCTCTCCCTACAGTATTGTGGAGCTTCTTGAATCTGACAATATCTCAGGCAATCTCTCCAACAAGGACCCCACCCAGGAAGTAGAAACTTCCACTGTCTAAACTTTAAACAACTTCCTTCCTTCTGTGGTTTCAGGAGCCTGAACATCATCTTCCAACTCCAGTAATTCCTTAAATTATCTCCTCCCCCTCATAGTTCTTTTGGAAAATTCTAATCCACACTGATCTGTCCTACCATTTTAATGGTTCCAGGCAGCCAGGGAACAGAAAAGCAATGCATGCCAAAGCAGTCCATCCCACGGATGAACTCTTCTTCATGTGACGTCCTAAAGTGGCCATTCATCTGGGACAGGGAGTACAGCTGTGTGCTGAAGGTGTGCTGGTGCCGGGCACCCAGGGGAGTGTTTGACTAACTGTGACAGGGAAGATAAGGAGGCTTCAGGGAGACCACCAATAAGTCCACCAATAAGATAACAGATAGGCATGGAGGGCAACATTTCAGAAGCCGGGCTTCTGCAGTGCAGCAGAATGTAAAGATCTGTGTATATCACTTAGATTTTTATTTAGCTGCATATAATTAAAATCCAAAAATATCCGTGGTTTAAACAAGATGGATGTTCTTTCTTATGCAGGAGAAATCTGGAAGCAGATCACCAGGGGCCCTGATGAAGTCACTGAGGTCTCAGGCTTCTTTTATTCCCCTACTGTTAGTAGAATATGGTCCACATTGCCCTGATGTCAGGGCTGACTACATCTCCAGCCATGACGTCCATATTTTTGATAGACTAGAGGAAGGATCAAAAAAGAGTCCCTTTTCTCTGTTTAAGGAGACTCCCAGAAGTCCCACTCAACACTTCTTATGTCTCATTGTTCAGACCTTAGCCACAGGAGCCAAAGAGGCTGGGAAGTGTATTCTTTGGGCTGGGCAGCTATACTATAGGCTAAATATTTGGGTTCTGGTGATTTAAGAGAAAAGGAAAGAATGGCTAGTTTTGTAGGAAAGTGAGAATACTGTGAGGAAAGCCTCATAGTAGTTATTTAGATACCTTCAAACCCAAACTGCTAATATAGTTTTTATTTACTGATTTGGCCTGAATCTTACACAGAGAATTTGTACATAGATACTAGCTCCATTTACCTTGTATGTACTATATAGATGTTAGCAACTCATGTGCTTTGCAATGTAATGTCATGTGGTTTCAGGTTTTTTTAGAAAGGGAGAGTGAATAGTTGAATACAATTTTGTAATAGAATGACGTTTTTCCTGGTGGTGAAGGTGGGACTGGGTGGTGATATTTAGTCTAATCTGAGATTAAAAGAGTATGAAGGGAGGGACTGCATCCGTCAAAACCCCCCAACATGGATCAGTAGCCTGAAGCACAGAGAAGACAGAGTTCACTTTCTGTTGTTTGGGAAAAACCTCACTCAGAGCTTTACCCACTCAGACCTTTCCGGAGTTTTAACAGTCTTCGCTATGTTGAGAAGCATGTGTCTTCCTGGCCCACTGTGGAATGTAAACCAGATGAATTCAGATGAATTCTGAACTTTTTTTTTTCTAATTCACTCCTGAAAGTGTCTTTGCAGTTTCAACAAAATTGAATCCTTAGAGGTCAAGCAGATTTTAGAGGTTTGAATCCTTAAAAGGATTACAGGTGCCCATTTCTTGTTCATGTCTCAGGAAGAAGCTGTTGAAAGGACTGCATTGAATCAAACCAGACAGGACGGGCATGCTCTCGCACAGAGGCCAGGGACATTTGCCCAACATATGGGGAACTCCACCTTCAAGAACTGTTTCTTTCTTATAACAAGTAATATTTGTTTGACAAAAAAACAAAACTCTGCAGTTTTTAAGATAACCTTGGTGCTCTCTGGTACTTTTGCAAAAATATAAACAATTGAAATGAAGACAAAATAAAAATAAAATCTGATTAACATTTGCTCCCTTTGTCTGAGTTTCCAAAATTGTTCTGAATGCTAGTTTGCAGAAAAAGGGTGAATGTGGTAGCTATCCTATATATGTATAATGGCCTGACTATGGGCCCTTATGGCTTGACTCTTCCCATGTACCTTTAATTTATTCGTATGTTCAATACAGACAAAAGCAACTAATGTACTTTGCAATTAAATGTTAGATATAAACAATTAGATATTAGATATAAACAGTCCATTTAGGTGGACTGTTTCCACAGATAATGTATTTACCTAAGCCTACATTAGGAAAAGACAACCATATTTGCACGTATATCCTGGGTTAGAGAAACCAATGGCCAAGGCCAAAAATAGTCATGATTAAGACAAGGCTAAGGTGGTCATGTGGAATGGCAGAAGGTTGAATGGACGGTAGGTGAGGCCCAAGGGATACCGAGATGAAGCTGACATGGCCCTCTCCCCAGCTGAGCTCACCACTGAGTAAAAGAAATAGGCCTGTAAATGGAAATCATTTCAAAAGGGTTCCAATACAAGTATGCAAACCCTAGACTAGAGGAAGAAAAACTCAGCCAAACAAATCTAAAGCAATCTCATCTTTGCTCTCAGAAAATACCTAGAGAACCTTAAACTGGGGAGTTAAATGCCATGTTTGAACATTCTGTTAGCTCATAGTTACCTCATCTTCACGGTGAACATCAAGGAGGAGGACTGTTTTCTACTTGCTTTGCAGCCATCACATGCGGACTAGGTAAGCCATGTCTGATTTGGGATGATGGAAGCCACTAGTTGGGCCTATGACTTGGGCACTGGAGGTATGCACTCAGTGGCCAAGATCCATGTGCTGGTGGTTGCAAGCCCTCCCCATCCCCCTGCCTTGTCCGGAGGAAGCTGAGGCTCAGGAGAGACCTGTCTGCATGACGCTGCACTCTCCTGGGGCAGGGGCACTGGGGGCAACGTGCACCTGCTTCTCTTACCGTTCTCATGCAAACTGTCTTGGTCTCTGAGGTACAGGAGGGGGGTGCTTTGGTCTCACCACCATGTCTCACCACTATGTTCTAGGATTCTCTTGGTGGTGTCTTCTTGAATAGATGTTGGTTGTTCTTATGGTGGGGAGAGAAGTCAGAAATAACTTACGTTGCCATCTTGATGACATCACTCTTCTCTTTCTTGTTCTTTAGTATTTATCCTATAAAGGCTTCCTGCTTTCTACCCCATATTGCAGTTCTCCAAATGGAAAGTATCCACTTCATGAAGTGTTAAATAAAATTTTTGCCACCTGATTTGTCTTTTGTAATATTTTTAACAAGCCTTTTACATTTTTAAATGGGATTTTTTAAATAGTACATATCACATAGAACATAGTCATCATTGTTCAGATCTTTCTGGGATATAAATCTTTGACTTATATCTGTACCCTACTAAGATTTTTAACTAATTTTCACAACTGCCCATATAACCATTGTTATACATCTATCAGAACACAAAGCCTGCCCATCTTTATTTTATACAGTGCTCGTGAATTAGTCACGATGTAGCTCACTCTAAGAGTGATATCAAACTCAAACACATTTCATCAACTTAAATTGTAATTTCAAATTAAATAAAATCTTTTACTTGCCTGTATCAACTACTCAGAAGGTATGCATTGTCTACACTACAACAACAGTTTAAAATATCCCTATTGTTTCAGTTATCTCTTGCTTTGTAACACCTGAAACTTAGTGGCTTAAAATAACAATCATTTATTTGCTCATAATTCTGTAATTTGGGTAGAGCTTGGTGAACACAGGTGGTCTCTTCCCAGTGTTTCTAATGGTGGGACAGCTCCCTTGAGGATGGAGTAGCTCCTCTACTCCCAACTGGATTTCACTAGCATGGCTGCCAAATTGGTGCTGGCTGTCATCCAGGTGCATCCCTGGGACTGCTGGTGCTTGAAAGGGCAAGCTCTCAGATTCTATTTCAGCCAATCGGGACCTGGATCCTATTTCACCCAATCGGAGCTTAGTCCCTCTCTCCCCTCCAGTCAGCAAGAACACCCACCACCCCTGGACCCTGCCAACTGACCAAAGCCACGACTCATCACCCCCCAAATACCCCCAGGCCCAGCCAATCAGCCAGGGCCACGGCCATCACCCCCACCTCAAACCGCCCGGGAAACCCATAAAACCTTTGTTCTGGGGAAAACGTGCTCTCTTTCTCTGGCATCTTGCCACTGCGTTGGTGTAGATGAGAGATTGAGCTTGAGCTAGCTCGAATAAAGGCTCTCTGCTTTTGCATCGGTGTTGGCTCCTTGGTGGTCTTCTGGGATTCGTGACTTTGGGCACAACAGTGCTCAGTGCCTGTATTGGTTTGCTAGGGCTGCCATAACAAAATACCAAAGACTGGGTGGCTTAAACAACAGAAATTTGTTTTCTCATAGCTCTGTAGACTGGAAGTCTGAGATCAGGGTGCCAGCATGGTTGGGTTGATCATGTTGCGAGTTTTCCACTTGTATTCAGAAGACCTATTCTTTGCGCAAATGGGGGTGGGAAGTAAAGTGTACAATCTCTCTGGTGTGTCTTCTTATAATTGCACTAATCCCATCATGAAGGCTCCACCCTCATGACCTCATCTAACCCTTATTACTTCCCAAAGGTCCCATCTCCAAATACCATCACATTGGGGGGGTAGGACTTTAACATATAAATTTGGGGGGAGGAGGACACAAACATTAGGCCCAAATAGTGCTCCTCCATGTGACTAGGTTGGGTTTTAGTAGCATGATAGTTTTCTAGTAGTCAGTCATTATACAGGGTATTTGACTTCCACCAGTCGGCAAAAACCAAATGTGCCAGGCATTCTGAAGGCTTTGGCCCAGAGTTGGCCCAGAGTCACTTCTGTCACATTGTCAAATTTTCTGTAAGCAGGTTTTGAGGCCAGCCCAGATTCAAGGGGAAGGGACTGCATAAGGGTCTGAATGCTGAGATGCGTGACTCAAATAGGCCACCAAAATAACCGTACCGTTCTTTTGTTATCCTATCAATTTCTCTCATATGTGACAGTGGCTTCCATGCTTATCTTTCTGTCCAAAATGTCTCTTCTCTCTTACTAGCAATGGCTCATTGTCTTGCCAATTGGTTTCAGCCCCGGGCAAGTTCACTATGAATTCAATGAGACCGAGGAATGACAATGGAACGTTCTTGGGGTGAAAGGGTTTATACTCAACTTTATTCCCACAGTGGCAAGTCAATCACTAGATTCCTGTCCACTCAGGGGGAGTCTGCATGCAGCAAGCAGGTCTCTGCCTCAGGGCCTCTCTGCTCCCGCAGCTGTCTCAGTCTCTGCACTTGGCGCTGCCACCACTCCAGTCTTCTCTCTGCTCTCCTGCAGCCTTGCAGCCCTGCAGCTGTGCCACAGTGTCACCCAGAGTACTGGGCAGAGATCTTTATATAGAGTCAATAACGTATGCCCACATGTGAGCTGACTAGGGCCAGGTGAGAAACCTGGCCATAGGAACCTTCACTTTATCCACACCCATCAACCTCTTATCTTCCCTTCGTCTACCCAATTCTGTATCCTACAAATCCAAACATCCTAAACTGATAGAGAGAAATGGAACTAACAAAGCCAGAATCCTTTGGTTGTGGAGGAAGAAGACAGTAGCAATAATGTTTGCCCCTTCCTACTTGAATAATGGAGGACTTTGCCAGGGGAAACAGTACTTTAAGTCTACAGCCATTCTGTGTACTATGACTGTCTCGCTGTATATAAGTTGATAATTCCCAAGACCTCTATTAGAACAGCTGAGATGCAAACAAGCACAGAAAGTAGACTCTCTCTTATTTCTCCCAGGAAGATTCTTGGGTGTGAGAGGAAAACGGGCAAAGGGGAGAGAAAAGAAAAGAGAGAGGAAGAGAAAATAGAGACAGGAAGGAAGACTACATGAAAGATAAAATTATGGACATAACGTATGCACATTTCCTTAACCAGGGAGACTCTCCAGGAATTCTATTTCTATGTCATATAAAAGCTTTTTAAAAATAATATTTGAGATTTAATAGAACTTCCTGAGTTTGAATCAGAGATGAGGAGAAGCTCCTGGGCTCTGTGAGCACAGTCTGAAAATGTCTGACTTTCTTGGCTTCAGTGTATTTGTAACTTTTGCTCCCTCAAGTCCCCTCCCTCCTCATGGGCTCTCCACATGTTTTTCAGCTTTAGTTTCTGTTTTCCCCAGGTCTAATTTTCAAGACGGAGAGAATGTGGTTGTACTTAATTTCAGGTTTGCAGATACTCGGCAGGTTGCTGCACCCTTTGTCCAATAACCTCTCAGTTTGTGGATTGTTTGGCATAGAAAATAGCTGTTTCTGGGCAAGGTTCAGCATAGGCCTGCCTCCCTCAAAGGTGCAGAAGCTGCAAGGCTGGACAGTTTCCTTTGAAAGGGGATGGTGAGCAGGTCAGGTTCTGTGATTGATAGCTGCCAATTCTAGAACATCTCTCTAGGTTCATCTTCTGAAGTAAACCTTACCTCCTCCTTTCCAAACTACAGTTGACACTTGAACAAGGGTTTGAACTCTGTAGGTTTGCTTATACTAGGATTTTTTTTTCAATAAATATATTGGAAAACATTTTGGAGATTTGAAATGATTTGAAAAAAACATTTTCTTTTCTTTAGCTTACTTTATCATAACAATACAGTATATATAATACATATATACACAAAATATGCTTTAATTGACTGTTTATGTTATTCATAATGCTTCCAGTCAACAGTAGGATAACTGTAGCTAAGTTTTGGGGAAGTCAAGTGTGCAGATTTTTCCCCACTGTTCAAGGATCAACTGTACTGGTAAATCCTTAGCAGATGCTATTTCATGCCTCCAGGCCTTTGTACATCCCATTTCCTCTGCAAAGAAGTGTGCCCTTCATACATTCCACTGCCTGGAAGACTTTTTGCTTCCCTCTGGAGTTGGTTCCAAAGTCATGAAATTGTGACAGAGGAAAACTAAATTCAATCTCTAAAATTTAAGACTAAAGTTAACTTGAAAATAAAGTCAAGTAGACCCCAAAGCCTTTAACATTAACAGGTGGGAGTTTCTTTTATTCTCCCCCTTTTCTCAGTCTCAGGGACAGAGTTCACACAGAAAGCTGATTTTGCAGAACCCAAGACATACTGCTCCAGGGTACTGAGGAGGAACCAATAAAAACAAAAAGCAGTTGAACTGGCAAAAGAATGTCTGCTTGGATCCCTGCAAGCTGCCAGTCTGTGTGTCTGCGGTCCTGAACACCACAGACTCTTCCCACGATTTCCCCTTTAAAAGCCTTTTTACTTGTGCTTCAGGACCATGGTTCTTTAAGGCATGAGCCTGCTACTCCTCATTTCCTAGCAAATTAATAAACCATCCTTTTCCTTTACTTAAAACTTAGTTATTATGTTCTGTGATTTGACCGGTGACAAAGACCCGTTTTTAGTAACATCTGTTAAGACTTTCATCCTCCTTTTTAACATAAACAGATTTTTAGACAAGTGGCTCTGCATTCACACTCACACCCAAGGAAATTTCACTCCAGAGCTCTGCCACAAAACGCTATAGGTGTTACTCTCAAAAGAAACTGAAATCTTTTTCCAAGAGATTCTTACTACCCAACTCTACACGCGGAACCGCAAAGACGCCCAGCCCTTCCTCCCGAGGGCGCAGCGCGGAGAATCTACGCATGCTCAGAGCGTGGGCGCACAGTGTGCCCGCCCCTTCCAGGCTCCGCGGAAGCCGCGCTTCCCACGACCCTCGGCGCGCAGAAGTCGGTCGCTACCTGCAGGTTTCGGCCGGGAAGAGGCGACCAAGGCGCCTGCGTAACGGGCAACATGGCTCAGGCCGGGAGTAAGGTAGAGAGAACGCCCGGCTTGGACCCTGCGGGTGCCGGGGATCCGGAGACTGTGGTTCGGAGGCAGGAATTATGAGATCAGGGCAGGGCCGGGGACCGAGGAAAGCGGGGAGGTCACGGCGGGCCATAGGGCTGATCATGGGCTGGAGCAGGCGTGCTGGGTCTGAGGGGTGCGCTGTGGGAAGAGCTGGGATCTGGAGTCTGAAACCCCGAACTGGAGCCTGGCACGCTCCCGACCCTCTGTGCCTCCCGCCTCCTCTGCCTTCCCACCCTTTCACTTCCGCTCCACCCATCGTCTCACATCCCTCCACGCTTCGCCTTCCCTCTCTCCCAGCCACCCTTTAACCGCTCTTACTCCACTCCTTCTGAGCCTGGCTCTTTTTTTAACATGAGAATGGAAGTTAGCTGTGATACGCACCCATCCCACAGACTTGTAAAACTTCAGAGAGGGCCTTTGAGTAAAATTACTTGAAATGTAAAATGCCATATTATTACCTCTGTAATCTAATATCTCGCATTTATTGAAAACTTACTCTGTGCGAGGCATTTATCTTAACGTTCGTTCCCATCTCAGTTGTCACAACAAGCTCATAAAGTGAAAACAATTATCCCCAAACAACAGGTGAGAAAACGCAGACATGAAGTCATTAGCCCAGGTTCACCCAGTCCATTAAGGGTGGAACTCGAACATAGGCTTTCTGGTTCAGAGCCCTGGAAAAGGTCTGTGTTGCTAGGAGTATACGACCGTCAGTGTCCTGGATGAATGACATGTTACGGTAAATTAAAAAAAGATTTTTTTTTTTAGTGTACGTGGAGAGTGGTAGTTGTCTCCACTAGAGGGAGGTGTTTTCCAGAGTTCATCCATCCTTCTACCCAACTGTCCAAAGGCTTGGCTCTTTACCAGGCATCTGGTATACAGGATGGAATCGGAGCAACTGATCCCCAGTTCCCTTAACTCCCCCTTGGGAAAAGTTGATTAAAACAATTATGACCATATGAAGCCACTCATCTCCTTTGTTCCTCCTCTTTCAGCTGCTGAAAACTGCAGCTCTAGGGAAGCAATTGTTTATGGCAGGTGGACTTACAGCAAGATTCTAACAACCTACCTGTTATTGCTTTGCTGTATAAATGAAGAACTGATATGCTGCCTGCTTTCTTTCCTGGTTATTGCTGCCAGAGAGGAACTTGAAGTAATACATAGGCCATTCTTCCCGACAAAAAGGTCCATATTGTGAAACCCTGTGATGCCATTTTTTTCAATACCTGATTCCTAGTCAAAGACCCTTAGTCCTCTGACCCAGAGTTTTCTGGTTTAAAAGTAGTCTTTACACACATGTATTCGATAAGTGCGGCAATGTATTTTGGGACTCAGATTTTTTTAAGATTCTTATGCTCAGGGCACTGAAACTACGGTGGCTTGCCAATGAGTTTCAGCCCCCAGGCAAGTTCACTATGGATTCAATGTGACCAAAGAAAATGTCAGTAAAACATTCTTGAGGTGAAAGGGTTATACCCAACTTTATTTCTACAGTGGCAGGTCAGTCACTAGAATCCCGTTCACTCTGAGCGAGTCTGCATGCAGCAAGCCGGTCTCTGCCTCTGGGCCCCTCTGTCTGCACAGCCATCCGATGGACCTCTCTGCCTGCACAGTCGTCCCACACAGCTGTCCTCTGGGCCTCTGTCCTTGGCACTGCCACCACTCCAGCCTCTGCTGTGCTTGCCTGCAGCCTTGCAGCTGTGCCACCCTGTCACCCAGAGCACTGGGTGGAGCTCCTTATATAGAGTCATTAGCAACGTATTGCCCACATGTGTGTATTGAGCTAGCCAGCCAGGGCCAGGTGAGAATCCTGCCCACAGGACCTTTCATTTTATCCACATACGGGATGTAGATTTTGTACTCACAGGAAATTTGTAGTTTATTACCACCTTTTTTTCCAAGCATGCTATCTTTACTCCAGAAATCTCTTAATTTTAGTGCATTATGTTCAGTGTTTTATAAACTAGGGAAATACTTAGTCTCCATTTTCCATGTGTTGCCTGAGATATGACCAAATGTAGAAAGCATCTGTAACTCCCCTGATAGGAACTCATTCAGGTTTTTCAAACATTTTTGGGGCTAGGAGATCACTGCTTCGGAAAACAGTGGTTATTTTTTATTGTTATTTTTCCCATTATGCGAGTCATCTAATTTCCCTGTAACTTTCATCTGTTAATCTTACTATCTTTTTGTAACAGCTGTCCAATATTTGGGAGGAACTATGACTTACCCTAAGTCGTCTCTCAGGTGGCTGAAATATTGAGTTTTTTCAAACTGTTCCTCACATCACAGGTTCCCCAGATCCTTTCCTAACCTGCTCATTTCATGTTCAGTTATAGTCTTATAAGATATGATGCTCAGAACTGCTCACAGTTTATCAAATATGGCCTGACCAGTACAAAGCACAGGTGAGACTATCAGTCAGTGTCAAGGAATGTTAACTCTTGGCAAGACCGGGGATCTCATTTAGTCTATCAACTGCTTCCTGTCTCTGTGACTTAAAAGTGAAGTTAAGTGACATTCCCAAGGACTCATAGTTAGTTGGTTATAAAGATGGGACTGAATCTCAGGCCCCCAGATTCCTAATCTGGTCTTTTTTCATCATAAGGCCTTTCTCTTCCTTTCTTGAATTCAATACACTATTGATAACAGCCTAAAATATTTTGGAGGATAGAATGAGACAGGTGGGGAGAAAGTAATGCTATAGCCATGCAATACTGGTGACTTGATTTATAATCCACCCTGACATTGCGAGATACTATTTGTTCAGTTAACTCAGTTAAATTTTTGATGCCAAATACAGAACTTTACATGTAACCATTTATGTTTAGTTTCCCCTATTTCCTACATACATGGTTGATAATACCTAATGACTTTGTCTTTATTTGTGGTCCCTTTTACATGTCATTCCCCTTATTCACATGAATGACTCCTACTCATTCTTCTAAACTCACCCGGGGAGCAGATCCAGGAAGCCTTTTCCTNGGGTGTATCGTTTTAGCATATATAGATTGTTGTAGCAGTGACCTACTGCCACAAAAATGCTTCATAACAGATTACACCCCAAATCAGGGGCTTACAGCAAAAGCATTTATTATCACGCTTTTGAGTCTGCAGATCAACTGCAGTTGGTCTGATGTATTTTGGGGTCAGTTGTACTGGAGTTAGTTCTGGCTTGCAGGTTGTTTTCAGATCTGGGTTTATTTTTGGGCTCAGGCCCAAGGAGCAGCAGCTGCCTGGAATGTGCTCCTGTCCTGACTTTTGAACTTTTGGACAATACTAGGACTAAAGTTTCTCCACGGTGAACACTTATATGTCTTAAATACCTTCGCTAAGTAGAAAACCTCCCCTCTCTTTATTGTGCAATCCCAAAGTATCAGTACAGATTCTGTGGGTGAAATAAGCAGAGGACATACCTCTTTTTTCTTTTTTTATGACCGTAATTAACATTGTCTTAAACAGTCTTTGGGACTTTGTTTTAGGCAGCTGTTGTGCTATGTATGGATGTGGGCTTTGCCATGAGTAACTCTGTTCCTGGTGAGGAATCCCCGTTTGAATTAGCAAAGAAGGTGATGATCATGTTTTTACAGCGACAGGTAAGTTTGAGATTGGTCTTGAGCTTGTAACTCATGTTTTAGCTGCTTGTGTCTCCACTTAGTAATGCATGACACCCGCTTGTTTAAAATGTCCAGCCTGTGTTTTTGAGAATCTGAGGAATCTCTTACATACACTCACAAATGAATCCAACTACCACTAGTGCCTGACATTTTTTTCTTCTCTTGTTTTGGTCCCTCCACTGGGTATTACAGTTTTTATCAGAAAAAAGGGCAATGTAAAGTAATGCTTAAAGGTATAATCTCCAGAGCCAGATGGCCATTTACTAAGCTTGTGATCTTGGACTTCAACTGCTTTATGCCTGTTCCAATTACCTTTTGCTGGTAATAGACTATCCCAGAACTTAATGTTTTAAGGGACTTTTTAAATAATCTCTAATGGTTCTGTGAGATGACTGGGTGGCTCGGTTGGGTCATTTTCTCCTGAGGCCTCTTGTACAGATACACTTAGGTGGTGGCTGGGGCTGAGTCATCTGAATGCTAAACTGGGCTAGATGTCCCAAGATGACTCAATCCCATGGCTGGTAGCTATGAGCTCTGTTGGGGTTGTCCATCAGAACCCTTACATGTGGTCTTCTCCATGTAGCTTGGGATTCTCACAATATAGTAGCTGGTTCTAAGAAGGACTGTCCCAAGAGTGGATACACTAAGAGACCTGCCCATATGGCTTATGACTCAGCTTTAGGAAGTCATTTCTGCTGCTAGTAGTCAAGCAAGTCTCTAAAGGTTAGCTCACATTCACAGGGTTGTGGGTGGGGGGCATATGAATTAGACTACTCTGTTGATTTCTGCCCCTCCTACCTGGCATGACTGCTACTTTTGCTCAGGCCGTGAAGTTGTGTTGCTTTCTCTGGGTACTGCTGCTCCTTTGGGACACCTCTGCTCCTTCTTCTAAGTGTTGTCCTTTCCACTGGGTGCAATTACCTCCCTCTGTCATCCTAGATCTTAACAAATTCTGATACCCTGGAGGTCTTAATGTGTCCACAGAGAAGAGAATGCCTCTAAGCCTCTTGTTGGTTACAGTAATTTGTGCTGGTTGTAGTCAAGCAGTGCTGCCATGCCTCAAGGTAGTATAGAATTTTTTTTTTTTTTTAAGAGAAATAGTGCTTGCAGTTCTTATTTTTGGCTCTGCCTCTTCCATGGGAGTCTGAGTGAATGTGAAAGGCGGGGGACAAAACCCGGTGCCAGTCTCATTCTGCACTCAATTTTCTCCCCTCTCCTGATGGAGGTTTTGTTTCTGAGCAAGATTACCTTGTCTTGAGATGAATTCTTGTCCAGGAGGCAGATAGAATTCTAGCTCGCGTTCCCCACAGGTGTGCTGGACGTGTTGGAACCTTGGCACCTGGGACCTTTTTTTCATGCCCACCTGGAATTGTAGCTGAAATTACTAACAGACTGGGGAGTTTAACAGATCAAAACAGAAGTGAAGAAGGACAGAATTCCATGCTCTTCCCAGATAGCACTCTTCCCACTGGTGTAAAAGGTTTATGTTAAGTTAATAAATAGGTGGGAATAGGACTGCCTTTTGTGTCAGATACTGTTTTTTGTATCTTATATTTTATTATGAAATTTTTATGAAACATATTTTATTATGAAATTTTCTTAAGAGGCAAGTACAGAGAATAATGGAACACTTTCCCATTGTTTAACATTGTACAGTACTTAAGTTTTATATTTGTTAGATTTCTTTTGCTTAAAAATTAAAATATTAACATAAATTTGAAGGCCCATATGTACGCCTTCCCAAGCCTTCGTTTTTTCTCCTTTCTTCAGAATTTTCATAGTTATTACCATGCATATTTTATACTTTTGGACAAAAGTATATCTATAAGTAATATTTAGTATTGTGTGAAGCTCTCAAAAGTATATATAATGTAATTATGTGATGCATATAATTCTGCAACTTTTTTTTTTTCAACCTTACATTTTTGAGATTGATTCACATTGATAAACATTGTACAAGTTTATTCAATTACTGGGCTGTAATATATTCCATTGTGTAACTGTTCTGCAGTGGGTTTTTGCCTTTGCCTGTTGATGGTCGTTTCTTTCCAGTTTTTCCCTGTTATAAACAGTGCTGAAGTGAACTTTCTAGTCGATAGTCTGTCTCCTTGGATACATGAGCAAGAGGCAAGAATTTCTCTGTAGTATATAAACCCTGTAAGTGACATTGCTGGGGTATAGGATATGCCAACAGAAACTTTTGTTTTTAAAATCTCTGGAAAATTTAAACCTTGGACAATAATTCCAGAAAGATGGGCTAAAATGATTTTCAAATTATCCATAATTAGTTTTCACTGAGAACTAAGAGTCTGTTTTGTCTGAAAGTCATTAAGACCAGTTACCGCCCTCCCTTTTCCCTACCCTAAATTGTGCTGAAATGAAGGATGGGACCTATAATCAATGGAAAAGCCTAGCCATGTAGCCCAATGTTCTGTTGTTGACAGTGGCACCAGGGACCTACTATAGTGAGGCAGGGTTGTCTTGCTTCCTGAAGGCTAGGTATCTAAATGCCTTCCAGCTGGTACTCTTTACTCTTTGGTTTTCAACCTACTGACATTCTTCTCTAGGTATTTGCTGCGCGCAAGGATGAAATTGCCCTAGTCCTTTTCGGCACAGATGGCACTAAGAACGCCCTTGCTTGTAAGGATCAGTATCAGAACATCACTGTGCACCGACACCTGATGCTACCAGATTTTGACTTGCTGGAGGACATTGAAAGAAAAATCCAACCAGGTTCTCAACAAGCTGACTGTATCCTTTTTCAACCAGAGAAGACTCTTTTAAGAAATGCCTCCTAATCTGGAGAATGATAGTCTAGTTTGGTGAGGGTCTCTAATAAGAGTCCCAGCTCTGAGTATATGCTCATATTTGGCTCTGAGGACATGGAAGTGATGTGTGTTAGAATTTAATAATGATAGTAATCAGCTTGGGTTGGGTGTCTGGGCTCTAGGTCCTCCAGTCACTTGCTCCTTCTCTGCACTAGGGAAACTGAGAGGTTGGGGGGCATTGGAAGTGGAAATACCAAGGGGTATATGTGTGTGTTGACCATGTGCCATGTGCATAGGGCTTCATGCTGGTGATGGTTAGAAGTGTTAGATGTACAGAAAATATTTTTAGAAAAAGTATAGCATTAGCATTCTCTATGCTTTCCTGGATGGAGAATTTTTTTGTCCAAAATCAGACTGATATCCAAACTGTGAGATTTCCAATTTCTTCCACAGGTGTCATGATTGTAAGAGATTACTGTTGTTTTTCTAAACAGTAGTGCCATTCTTGATCACTGGGAGGTGCTGCTTGCCAAGAGTGACTTACAAATGCTGTATTGTGGCTCACTTCATGTTTAAGAATGGACTGTAATCACAAAGTGTGGCTTCTAGGTGCTGCAAAATGGCATCATAATTTTGTTTAACTGAATGGAATATGTTAGATTACCTTTTGGTTTATTTGATTTTTCCTGATTATGTTTCAGGATATATACTTTGATATATAGCATATGCTAATATATGTTAGTGAAATAAACTTTGGAGAAAGACACTTCAGCAAGTAGTTTCAAATCATCGTATAGTCAGCCCAGAGTCCCCAGTTTCCAGCACAGTTGTCTACACTGGAAAAAAGATGCATATTTTTGGGATAAAGGAACTGTTTGGTGATACCTTCTGCCCTTAACTAGCTGAGTCCTGGATGCACTCATCGTGTGCATGGATGTGATTAAACAAGAAACTGTGTAAGTGTCTCAGATGAAAAGAGTTGGAAATGAACTTTTCTATGAAAATTGTATGGATTGATTCAGCGCCTTCTGTGATCCAGTCAAGCAGGATGTTTGCACAGCTAAAGAAACATATGATAGAATTCACTGATTCAGTTCCATCTCCCTTTTTTAAAAGATGGGGAATTTGTCTGGGAGAAATAAATGTTTGGCTTATTTCAAGTTCCTTTCTATTTGACTTAGGCTAATTATCAGGAATTCTGAAATGCACTAAAGGGTATGGTCCATTTGTTACTGAAATTACAGTTGACCCTTGAACAGTGCAGGGCTTAGGGATGCAGACCCCCACGCAGTTGAAAATCCATGTGTAACTTTTGACTCCCCAGAAACTTAATTACTGGTGGCCTACTGTTGATTTTATAATAGTAAATGATAAAATAACCTGATATCTACAGATATTTTATGCATTCATGACATATCTAACTTTTTCTTTAGTTTCTTCAGTACTTCTAGGCTACAAAGCTCGTCTGCAAGTTTTTTCAAATTGTTGCATATCTACAAAAATATTTCCAGTACATCTACTGAAATGTGTTTATTAAAATATTGAAATGTATTTATTGAAAAAAATCTGTGTACAAGTGAACCTGTCCATTTCAAACTTGTCTAGTTCAAGAAGTCAAGTGCAAATGCATAGTAACTGGCCAGCTTCCTAATTCATTACTTATTTAATTACTGTGCCTTTCAAATGTATGTCTTTAAGTACACACACACACACACACGCACACACACACACACCACCACCACCACCACCACCACCACCACCCCCAACCCCTTGCCCTTTAAATCAATTGTTAGGAAAAGATTTGCACTGAAATCTCAGGCTTCAATTTGTATTATAATTTCTCAATTTCTGTACATACTATGCAAAATCTTGCCACTAGCCCTGTGAGTAGAATCAGAGCAGGGTGTTTGGAAGGTGAACCCTTGCAAGGCAGTGGTTGTAGTACACGTGAGTTCCTCATTTATATCCTGCCTGTGTGGAGGCTGGAAGGGATCCTTTCTAAGCATAGTGACCGTATCTTTAGCTGAAGTTAGAGTTGGGAATTCAAGGGATGTAATATTTCCATAATGCTCAGAAATTTTCCCAAGAGTTTAAAAGTATGGGTTATACTCAGGTTGATTATTGTTTAGTAGGAACTTAATAGTAGAGCATCAACAATACGTGGACTTCTGGAAAGTACTCAGTTTGTTAAGTACGTTTAGATTCATTCCTTAACCTCTTTTTGTTCAGTGACCAAGTGCATTTGAATCTATAGGAAATAATTCAGGAGAAAGATTTGTTAATGTGATAACTCTTTGTTTTAGAGGGAAGAAGTTTGAGAAGAGGCATATTGAAGTGTTCACTGACCTCAGCAGCCCATTCAGCAAAGATCGTCTGGATACTATAATTAGTAACTTGAAGATAACCGGCATCTCCCTGCAGTTCTTGTAAGACCGTAAGAATAATGTTTGTAGACAAATCCTATGCTCTCCTGATGCAGTGAGCGCGACCCCTTTCTAGAACATTTGGTTCCCAAGAATCTTCTCTTTCTGCTGAGTGAAAGCTGTCAGATGACTGACCTCGGCAAACATTCACTGATTACTCTCTGTGTTTTAGGAACTCTCCCGAGTTTTGGTGATAAAGCGCAGAAAGTCACAGTGAAGCAGGAATTAGGTCAGTGGCAGATCGTTTGTTGGTGGCTGTTCTTGGACTCAAAGAATTGAGGAATTCTTGAGGACATTTAAGTTCATTTCCTGCCTACGTAGCGGACTTTACCCAAATAATTATCAAATGGATGGTGTCTTAAACAGTTCAGGAGTACTGTGTCTTACAGTAAATATTTTTAGGGTAGAGAGGAATGTCAATGTAGGAATAATTTTAAACATGTCATGCTTATTTTTAACTTTTTCATATCTAAGGGATATACATGTATACATAAAATATAACTTGTTTATGAGTATTTAAAGATAAGGCATACAAATTTGAACAGAAAATGTATTTCACAGTTTGTAAGGGAGAGAGTCTCTCCTTCCTTGAATTTCCTCCGTGGCATTTACTTTCTTTATCTTACATCTCTAGAAGAAAGTTCTTTTTCACTACACTAATCTCTTTCCTGCCCCAGCTGAAACCAGTTTTTTCTTGTCCTATTTTTGGTGAAAGCAGAGTGATGGTATAAGATATTGAATAATTAGTCTTCTGAGGGCACTCATTTTTCAGATCGAGAGCTATACCAAGAAGCCTCAGCTCAGAGTGGTAAGCTTTTGGCTTCTTTATAATGCCTGCCATGGGGAATTAAGAGCCTCTCTTGCATGTATTAAGACTACTGAGGGACATCTTTCTGCAGAACTGTAGAAAAATAGTTCAGAATAATCCATCAAACTGTTACTTGTTAAGACGGTACTTGCAAGAAATTCAGTGGTTTTTAAGTGACACTTATTACTGACTTGAGGTTTTCTTAGCACTTCAGAAGCCCAGCTTGGCTTCTGATCCTGTTCATAAGTTCAGGATGCCTTTATATGGTTGAAGCATTCTGCACTTCTGTCAGTGTCATTGGAAAGGGTTACTGTTTTTTGTATGAGCAGTACTGTAAAGCACGCTGAAGAGAGAACATAGCCTTTTCTTCTGCTTGCTTATTTGACAGGTTGTATTTTTTTCTTGGGTAATATGCTTTTTTTCTTTGCTACAAATGTCCAGCATACAACATAGGGTTTTTGTTTTTATTGTTCGGTGTATTCCATATATGACTAATCTGGTGGACTAAAAAAATACCAAAAATACAGCAGGCCAGAGAGGCACTGTATTCTGAGCAGGTTGCTCCTTGGACTTAGTTTTTAGGTGCTTCTGCTGACACTGAAAGTTTTTTATTTCTGGTCTGATGCAGGTTAAGAAGAACTCTTATTGTAACTTCTGGGATAACTTTCTGACTCTTCATTTTCGTATCATTCTTTCCTTCGTCCTGGTTGCTGTTACGGAAACAGCAGTAGCCTGATGCAAAACCACTGTGCCATAGCTTGCTGCCTGGAAACTCTTTATTTGATAGGGAATGCAGGACATGCATATCTGTCATGCTGCACATACATAGGAAAAAATTTTAACAGGAAGCCGTATTTTAGTTATGGCAAGTCAGGTGATAGAGAAGTCACCTTAAAAATAACCATTTATGTAGGAGTGACCAACAGGTAATACTGAGTGTACTGAAAAGATTGATGAATTCAGCTATTTGGGTTTCCAGGGCCAAAAGGGGAACCTTGCCCTTTGAATCATGACAAAGTCTTTGCTTCATCACTTATTAGCTGTGCAGCTCTGGCCAACTGATTTAATCTCTGTAGCTTCAGTTTCCTCCTAGAAAGTTGAGGTAGAAATCTCTATCCACCTAATATATAAGGATTAAATGAGATTGCTTACACGAAAGCATTTCTAAAATGCCATATTGAGTATTATCATAAAATGTATTTGCTTGGTTTATTTTTCAGTTTGTATATAGATTGTTAAATATTCCCATGACTGGTAATCCCAATCTAGTTATAATCTCCTTTCAGTCAAACAACTGGAGTGAAACACAAGGAGAAAATTGATTTTACTTATCTCTGTCAATTAACTGATTTCTGTATGGGAATTCTATATCTGTAGTAATAATAACATTATTTGAGTGTTAAGTATCTTATACATATTCTTTTATTTAATCCTTATAGTAACATTGAGGGATCATTAACGGGCATTCATTTATTTATTTTTGTCAGCCTAGAATATCAACCAGCCTTTTTCTAGGAAGCATTCCTTCCTAAAGTTTTAACTTTAACCTCTTGGCTTGAATGAGGACTGATATCTTGTTGATCTGGCCCCCAGGGTACCACTGATACCTGTTTTCTTGAATTTGAGACTAGAGCATTAAACACTCAGTCCCTCTTTGCTAGTGGAACTGGGTAATGTGAGCTTGAATGTGTTCAGAGGCAATGTGAGGAAACTAGTCAGAGTGAAGCCAGCAAAAAGGCAATGAAGATCAAATATTGAGACAGTGAGAGGATCAGGTAGTCCTTGTGGTGTTTGAGACTGTCTAGTCATCCTAAGTCCATATGCAATCCTGCCCTTCAATTATTTGTTTATGTAAGCCTATAACTCCCCTTTTACTGAATCAAAGAGGCTTAGTCACTTGAAACTGATAGAATATTGGTTACGGTGGGTAAGTGCCATTTGACAGATGAGAAATGTAAAGCTCAGAGAGGTTGATTGACATGCCCATTTTCACATAACCAGTGAGTGATAGTTGCAGGACTGAAACCTAGCTTATTTGGCTGCAGAGCTTGTCTTAACTTCTGCTGATCTTTTCCTGATAGTTTGCCTTTCCCAGTTGTCAAGGAAGATGGAACTGGGGACAGACAAAATGGCAGTATGCACTCAGACCACGATGGACCCTCCTTTCCTCTAAAAGGAATTACTGAGCAGCAAAAAAAAGGCATTCAGGTGGTGAAAGAAGTAATGATGTCTTTAGAAGGTGTGGATGGACTGGATGAAATTTATTCCTTCAGGTGAGAAGTAAAAACACTGATTACAACTTTTCAATTGTAACCATATAAATTTCTCTTTTGATCAGACAGCTCCTTAATGCTTTTCTTTTTCTAGGCAACTCTTGATTTAGCAGTTGTTCTTTAATAAATATTCTGATTTGCATTAAAGAAATGGTGTACCAACCCTAGTCCCTTTTATTAGGTTTGTGTGGTTGGCACAAGATTTCTTATTTATTTCTAGGACGGTGTCAGTGAAGTTTGGAAAGATTCAACAAAGTCAAAATGTAAAAGATGAGGTGGTGGATTTATTCTTTTTGCCAAGCTTAGTCTTTAGTCACATTTCTTGGGCCCTTTCTTATCGTACACCTACAAAAAACATTCCTAATTATAAGAAGTGGTGTCATATTTGAGATACTCAGAATCCTCTTACCCTCTGACTTAGGTTTCAGGAGGGAGGCAGTGAACTATCACATAGTGACTTTTTTAAAACTTTTGCTCACAAAATAGTTTGGTCAGACAAAACAAAACAAAAAACCCAAAATATAAAGAACTTATAACCTGTTTATTAACGTGGGTTTTGTAAAGGCAGAAATGACTTAAGAAATGTGAAATACCTGAAGTACCATATAACAATAAAGCAAACTGCTTTTTTTTAACCATTCAGTTAGAGACTATGGGAAACACTCTCTCTTTTATCCATGTTATTCTTGGTTGAAATTGGACATACACATATTTTGTACAAAGAACCTGGAGGGGTCAAAAACATCTAAAACAGTATGTGTTTGAGGAGCCTGAGTAAATGTGGCAATAGAATACTTTAGCACACGGTGTGGCTTGTGGAGTTTCAGATTCTCAGGGATAATACCACTTGATGTTCACGAATTCCAGTTGTCAATAAGTACACAAAGTACATACATTTTAAGCAAAGTTCTTAATTGAACTGAAGTTTCAACAATCATGATTTTTTGAGTAGCTATAGTGTGTATCTGCTTTAATTCTTTTCCTCAATCAACCACAATTTTTAAAGATTTCCGGTAAACTATAATTGACAAGCAGTATATCTTGATTTTCTGAATGCAGACACCCTTGAAAAATTGTAGGTAAAAGAGAGTTTTGGAAATGGAATGGTAGTTTCCCAAGTGGTTGACAAAGGAATCAGTGAGGATCCTATAAAGGGATGTTTCTAGTCCTGTGGGAATACATGTCTTAAGCTAACATATTCACCACAACATAAATAAAATTATGGGCCAATACAAATTATTTTTTGACGAGGTTATTTTCCTGTATCATAGAAAGAAGGGAAATTACTATCTATGTATAATCCTAGCAATTTGGAGTCACTTTGATTTTAGGTCTGCCATAAAGGTGAAGACCAGAACTTTGCCATCTGATATATTATCCACATGTGGCTGTTTAGAACATTTCCGTCATCACAGAGAATTGTACTGGATAGCACTGGACTGGACTTATCCTCATGTAGAAGATCTTAGAGGAAGATAATTTGACTTCTGCTGTGGGTGGAGGTGGTTCAAATCTACTACAAAGATGATCCATTTGTTCTTAGAGGTTATGTATTAGATGCTAGCCTTTAGGACTTCCCTGGAACAAAATCCAAATCTCATGGTGGTTTTAGACATGACTCATAATTGAACTAGTGTTCTACAGGACAGGTTAGACCTGGTTCAGACCCATTCATTCCCCAACAAATCCAAAGCCAAGGTGTACCATTAACTTAGGAAGTAAGGTATCAGGCAGAATATCTGTTATTGTTGTAGATTATTTCTGAGAATTGGAGTTTTCTTGAGGATAATGACTGGATAATGTCAGACAATTCAGTGCCTCTTTGTAGATCTGTTTTTCATTTGTACAAAGGGATCAGTCATAGTCAAGACTATATGCTTAGAATCTGTGTTTGGTCATTAATTTCTTAGTGAATACCACAGATTCTACCTATCCCCTATAGTTTTCTCTGTTGTCTTAGATTAAGAACCAGATACAAATAGAATCAGTCTTCACTTATGTTCAAATGAAGTAGCACTCTCCATTGTGTTTGCTACTTCCCAATTCCTCTTCTTCCCAGTAAGAAACCTGGAGCTATCTACTTTACCAAAAGACTAAATATGGACTAAGTTTCTTTATCCTCTGTAGAGTCCTTATTAACTCTCCATTGTGTGCATATACATAGCATATCTTTTATTTTAGAGAGTGGAATTAATGAATTGTAGAGTTATAAGCAGTGATGTTAGGATGGTACCCACCCTTCGATATCCTAGAGCAGGATTTTTATCCTCAGGTTCATAGTTTTCAGGAAGTTAGTGAACCCTTTAAATTATGTGCAGACTTATTTATGAATCTGCTTTTATCATGTCCTCAGAATGTCCTTGGTCCTGAAAAATGTTAAGAACCGATGGCTGACTTCAAAGAAAAGATTGAGTAGGGGAAAACAGAGATGCTTGTTTTCACCTGTCAGTAAAGTAATTCAACTCCATCCTTCTAGGCCAACTCAGTTGTATTCTGGCTCTCTCCCAACTTGTGGTTGTCATTTTCCTACCATGCCCTGCTGTTCTCTCTCTATGATCAACAACAATTCACTGCTCATTATAGAAAGCTAAGTGTATCATCCAGTACAAGTTAATATTTTTAAATTGTTGCTTTCTTTACATATTTTTCCCTAAGTGATAGTCTGAGACAACTGTGTGTCTTTAAGAAAATTGAGAAGAGTTCCATGCGTTGGCCCTGCGACCTGACCATTGGCTCCAATTTGTGTATAAAGATTGTGGCTTATAAATCGGTAAGTGATAGGTACACATTTTTTAAACAAGTGGTTATCAAGCAGGCACACATGCTTATATAAGGAACTTACAATTCATGTGTGGGTTATTCAATGCCATAATTCCTGCTTCTCTAAATGCTCTTCCTGTTCATTTAATTTCTATTTCGCTTTTATGTAAAAGACATACTAGGATAGGAAGTTTTAATAATTGTCTATATAAGAGGTTGATTTCCTCCTCTTTCTCCTTCTTTCCATTGATAATTGTTAATCATGAGTTCTAGGCCTCTCTTTTTAAAAGAAAGAAAATGGAATGCATTAAGTTGTGTCATTATAGTATCATAGCAGAAATACAGATATACACCAGAGTTAATAAGTTCAGAGTTTTGAAAACTCAGTCACGCCTAGTTCAGTTATAAATGATCTGAAAGTAACATTTATGAAGTATCAAAAAATTTTGACTTGTTACTGTGAAATGGCCTTTTGTAGTACATGTACGTTTGTACCTAATAGCATACTTTTAAAAATGATTGCTTTTGATAATTCTTTGTTGAAATTCTAGTTTGAGTGTGTGCCTCTGATCCATGCCTCCACATGACCCTCCTTGCCGTTTTTCTTTAAAACTGAATATATACAGACTGAGTATATAAAACATTTAAATACAGAAAATACACAAAAACATGTTTTATATATTCAGGTTTTATACATTCATGAAAACCTAGTAGGTACTTCTTTATTGTGGGTCCCATCAAGGTCTAGCATTATGTCCTAGGAATGAGAATACAGTCTCTTCCCCTTCTTTATCCCAGCTTCCTTTTCAAATTTCCTTACTGATTTCTCTCTCCTTTTCTTCTCTATTGAAAAACTGTGATAACAAATTGTATAGTCACTTTTTTATGTAGACAGTTTGAAGATTTTATATAAAAGGTGTTTGCATATATAAAGATATTAATATTTACCTGTGGATTACTCTGGGGAGAAATGAAATGTAGGAAGAGTTATGAAATAAAAATTTCTACAAAGGGCAAGAGCAAACAAAACCATTTAGTTAGAGTAATTGTTTTAGAGTTTTTTCTGTAAAGCAGAGAGTATTTTAAGTTTTCATCTTTCATTGATTGGAATCCCAGCTTTCCTTGTTCTCCATTTATTTTTCTTTGGGAAATAAGATTTTACAGGAAAAACTTAAGTGTTGGACATTTGTGGATGCAAGAACCCTTAAAAAAGAAGATATACGAAAAGAAACGGTTTATTACTTGAATGACGATGATGAAACAGAAGTTTCAATAAATGATACTATCCAAGGTATGCCAATAAAATTTTCACTTTTACCTATATAAGATTTTATTCAAGGTGATTTGAGGCAGGCCAGGGTTTGTATTATTATTTTTTAGACATCATTATCTGAGTTCTAGAGGCACAACTATTTGAGGGGAACATGAAGTACTAAGTTCTTCAGCTCAACTGTTGGGTCTTAGGCAAGGTGGTTCCCAGGAGTACGCTCGGATATTCTGTCTCTGAATTTTAAATGTCTCAAGTGACAGGAGTTAATGCTGGGTTTTATTTTAAAATTTGAAACATACTAGCTTGGAGAATACTTACATTAATGGGCTAAAGCACTTGTTCACTCTATTTTACTTTTGACTTCTATGGTGATTATTCTTCTGAGTGCCAATTTCAGGTCTCACATCCTGCCAGGCTCTCTTAAGCTTATTTAGGGATAAGAAATATTACTTATGTTTGTTATATTGCTTTATGTTCATATATTTTACCCACTTGATTTGTATAGTGTGTCTAGGTGGCATCTCTCTTCAGAGGGCTTAGAAACTAGCTCAGAATGCCTGGAATTTCAAGAGCTAAAATTACAAGATACCAGATAATGGATAAATAGAAACTAGTATCTTCAGATAAATTTATTACCAGGTTGTATGCTACCCAGTATAGTTTAAATTTTCAAGCCTTGAAAAAAATGTGTTTCATCTGTAGCACTGTATCTCAGTGTTTGTGTGTATTTGTTGCTGTCATAGGGCTGGGTTGTGGACAGTGGCTCAAGGTGATGGTGGTTATGATTCCCTTCTTTCTTCTGATGGATTATGTGTAGAATGTAATTCATATCCTACAATCTCTACTAATTCTTTAATTCAATTTAGTAGTATGGTGTAGTTAAGAACATGAATTTTGGTGTCAGACCTGTGTTAGAGTCAAGACTCTAATCACTTGCTAATCATTTGATCCTAGCAAAATGACTGGCCCATAGTAGGAAGAATAGCATGATTAAAGGCATAAGACCAGGAAAGTAGAGGTTCACCTAGTGATATCAAGTAGTTGGGTTGGTGTATTAGATATACACAGTTTAGAACTCGAGGGTAGTATCTAATAGACAACAAGAATTTTCCTTTTTCTTCTTCATAACAACCTAATGAAGCAGGAACTCTTGTTTCCATTTTACAGATAAGAGAATTGAGGCCAAAAGACATTCATCAACATATTTCATGTCATATATTTAGTAACTAGCAGAACTTGAACCCAGGGCTGTCCTGCTTCAGAGTCTGTGTTTGTGCATACTGTTGTGAATTAGGAAGTGCTTTGAATGACAGGCTGAAGACCTCACGCTTAGTTATTGTTTTGAGGAGCAGTGTGTCCAGGGGCTGCTTTTAGGATGATTAATATGACAGTTGGGTGCAGGATGCATTGGAAGGAGAAGGGATTAGAGATGTGGGTGCCAACTCTATGGTTGCAAGCCAAAAGAGCCGGCTCTCAGTATCTTAGGCAAAAAGGAAATTTACTGGTGGAGAAATGGAGAGGGAAGAGTTACACGTTGTTGGAGTTCAAAGAGCGTGGACGTGCAGCTTTTCACCCTATCCTGTTGCAGTTACCACGTGCTTCCTCTGCCCGCCCTCCACTCTGTACTCCCCAGTATATAGAGTTCTCTTTCTTAGAGGGACTAACATGCACATCTGGGAAAAAAGAACATAGTTCTATGTTATAGTCTATTCTGTACTTTTTGTCACGTACAAAAGTTAGAGTTCTTGATTTGTCCTTGAAATAGATGAAGCAGAAAACACAAGACAGTTTTAATTAAAGTTTTCAAGTTACTACTAAAAAAGATTCAAGAAAGAAGGTATCTGATGACAGAAGAGAGAAAAACACATTTGATTTAAGAGATACCACTCTTTATCATATGCTTATACATTTCCCTGTTAAGTTTTTGAAATTTTTGTTTTTATCACCAGCTTTTTTTTTAAGACATATATGAAAATAGAAATGTTTCTTTTTAAATACCTGTAATCAACAAAATGACAGGAACAAATAAACATTGGATCACAGAGTCTACCCTCAAACACATGTTTCTTTGAGTAAAGATTTATGTGCTTTTCCTTTCCCTTTACCCAAGGCCAGAATCCTTGGATTTTGATGGTCCTTCTCTCCACCAAACATATAAATCTGTGCATCAAAAGGACATGACCTTTCATGGAACAGAGGCCCTGGAACAGGATTGAAGTGTTCTTAAGAAACCAAAAGCCTGTATTTGTATGAATAACCTTAAGTAATTAAAAAGAGACAGTCTAGTCCCAGAAATAAAATAAATTTAAATGCAGAGAAATATCTTAACTTATCAAGTGAATGTTCCTAAATAGAATTTTGGCTTCCATTAGGGATTTGTACATCTCCACCATGCATTTTTGAGAACATTTTATTCTGAAAATTTCCTGTGGGCATTTTTCTCTGTGGGTCTCCAGGTTTCTGAACAAACATGTTCTTGTTATTATGTTTATAAGTCATGCTTGGGTGTTAAGTCAACCGTGGTTTATCTTTGGAGGATACCTAGTACGTTGCATTGGCTGCATTCTTTCTTCTGGGTGGATGATCATGAAGGTAACTAGACTGTAGAAGATGCTACTTAAAAAATGTAATTAGATTTTAATTGTCTCTATATTGTATGTGTTGTTTGTGTATCTGCTATTCCTTTTCCCCCATTGCTCACAAGGGGCAGTAATTTAATTCCAGGGAACAAACAGTACATGAGGCTTGATCTGGAGTGTGCATGTATTGCTAATGTATGTGTAGGGCTATTTCAGCATGTAGAAATGAGGTCCCATATGTCTAACAGATGTTATTCTCTTGTCCTGTAGGCTTCCGCTATGGAAGTAATATAGTTCCTTTCTCTAAAGTGGATGAGAAACAAATGAAATATAAATTGGAGGGGAAGTGCTTCTCTGTGTTGGGATTTTGTAGATCTTCTCAGGTATGGTACTTACTCTACTAATTATAAACAAAATAAACGAGCTCTTTTCCTCATTTGAGATGCTATGCTTTTGATTCATCCTTTTATTTACAACATATATTTTTTTCACTTGTGTTTTCTTTAATGTAGCCTGGGGATTAGAATTAATATCTTTGAATTTTTTTTTAATATCTTTGATTTTTGAAGAAAAAAACCAAGATATAGAAGTCTTAGCGTGAATCAGAAGACTAGATCCAATTAAAAGTTACTTCTCAGCTTTGCTATTGGTCATAGCTCATAGTAGCCTTAAAAAAACACATCCAGTCCTTTGTTATTTTTGCTTTCTCTGAGCTGTTATGCATAATACAGTGTTTTAGAGGAATGAAGGTCTAATTGAGTTTTGAATGACCTCAGGCCTCGTAGGATATCATTAATTTATGCCAGTCACCCTTCTTCTCAGTGCCCAACAAAAATGTCTATAATGTGAAACTGTCCTTAAATCGTATGTTTTTTAGACACCAATGCAAGAATACATAAAATAGACACAGTAGAAAATGCAGTGAAGGCCATATTCTGTTCTAGGTACAACATACTATTCTAGGAAGAGTTACTAAAGATTCTTGGAGACCCTAGATGAAATGCTCTTGAGAGAGACAACCAAAGAGAATGAATAAGTATACACTGTATCTTTCAGGATGAAGTGATTTTTGTTGGTTATAGAGGAATTCAAGTGCAAATTACAAAATGAACATAAATATTACCCAGTATACTGGATTTGACCTTTGTAATGTTGCCTTAGCATATCATCCCTGTGTATTTCAGTGGTAGGATAATTCAGTGAGGTTTAGGAGAGAGTTTTCCATGATATGCCCAAAGTGTTAGATAAATTTTTAAAACTCATAAGCTGAAAATTGGGAGTATTTACTTAAATCACTAAGATTTTAATGGTGAGATAAATACTTTTTGGAAGTTGAGAATTTCTAGTAATTCTCTAACAAAATACACTAAATATGCATTTCTTCAAAATAAAGTTATTTGCTTTGGAAGTTATATCAACTTATGGTTATTAGTGGCAGTGCTTATGAGTCTTTTAGTGAGACGGAACGTTCATTCAGACCTGTGTGTAGAAACTGGCCTGTTGGGAGATGAGTCTCTCCAGTTGCAGATAGGTAAAAAGGGCTTACCCAAAGGCCCTGTCAGTGTAATTCAGGACACAAGAAATTGAAATCACCTGTACCAGGGAGTGGGTGGGCTATTTAAGTGACAAGGCAAAAAAGAGTGTGCCAAACAAAATTTTAAATACTTTTATTAACTTAAAGTTAAGTTTTAAGTCAACTTTTGTTTTCTAAGTCAACTTTTGTTTTTTTTAAGTTCTAACCTTTTTTTCCTTTTTTTAAGAGAGCAAGGCAGAGGCTTTTATTTAGAGAGAAAGCAAGAGGACAGAACTCCTGGCTCAGGCCAGGAGGGGACAAGAGAGTCCCTAAGCTCTAACATTTTTATCTTAAGTACAATCTCAGGTATAATACAGTCATATAGCTGTCATTTATTAAGTGATTATAATAATTCCAATCAGTATACCAAGCATTTTACATAAATTCCTATTTAAGTCTTACTACAGCCCTCCTAGGTAGGTGCCATGAAATGTATTTTATACATTAGAAAATCAAAGTTCAGAGCTGTTAAGTAACTGGCCCAAGGTCACACAGTTAGAAGATGATAGAGACAGGTTTTGAACCAGATCTCTCTGACCCTAAAGTCTACGCCATTAATCGGTTTTCTGCCCACCAGATGGGCAAGCTCCTTTTTGAATAGTTTAATTTTTATACCTGTTTTTTTGTATTATTTTAAATGGATACACACCCTCTTAAGAGCATGGTGTTTTCCATGATGACTAAGATAAAGTGTGAACATGCACCGTATAACATAGTCATTGTTTTTAATAATATATCACATTTTTCCAAATTTTCTTAAAGTAAAGGAAAATAACATTTCTGGATTGAATGAATATGAAAATTTTCATGAGGTGTTTTTTTTTTTTTTCCTCTTGTTTTGAATTGTGAATTGCTTTTCTATTTTAAACCACCAGGAGTCCTTTCAACTTGTCTTGATCGAAACTGTCAGTGTTCTGGGTGTCTAACTATAGGAAGGAAAAATATTTAGCCAGAACTTCCCCAAAGTGTCTGATTGTCCTTTGAGAAGGCATTTAGGTACCTTAGAAAAGATATCATTAACTGTTCTTTAATCAATCAAGAACTAGTACAGATTCTAATAGGACGATAAATCTATATGAATGTAGCAAACTAAGAATGTGAAATTGTTTCCGTATTTCTTAGAAGTTGGTTTTCAAATGGGGAATGAAAGTAGAAATAGAGGGTAGTTTAATTATACGGACCTCACCTCCACACCTTTGAGACTCAGTCCTCTTGAGCCAGTGTTACTGTGAAAGTAGCATAGTCTCTTGGTTTTAGAGGTGGGAGGTTGGAAAACCATATGAGAAACATTGCCCTGTACAGCACATGGCATGTTCTTATAAATATGCCCCATGTTCAAGATGACTAGGTCAGAGAGAAATGGGCCTTGGTGGATAGATGCAAGTGGTTATGTTATTAGGAACATTTCAATATGCATTTTCTATCAGCTGTTGGTAGAGCTGCTCTGACCCCTCTGATATTCTGCTAGATAGTAATTTAGTTTTGATTTAACCAGTTTTCCTTCTTCCAGTCCTGCCCCTCTAATTAGTTCTTTGCTCTGTTCTCTTAGCAATTCATCAGTGCTCTTAAGATGAAGTCCAGGCCACTTAACTTTGTTCATAAAAGACTTCACGATCTGAAGTCTTTTTTTTTTTCCCCTTGCACTGTGGCATTTTACGTCACTCCAGACTTATTCACACTACTATCTCTGCCCAGGACTTTTGGACCCAGAATTTTCTCTTAGTTCCTACACTTCAGTTAAGTCTTGACTCAGGTGTCACTGTTTGCAGAAGCCTCCCCTGACCTCTCTTGCCCAAGTCAGATGCCTTTCCTGTGTGCTCCCGTGCACTGAGCTCTGTAATGCTGTGCCCTTGTGCTTTGTGCAGTACTGTACAGTCATACTGCACTGCAGTTAATTCCATATTTATCTAAGCCTCTCAGGATAAGACTATCATGTTCATTGTTACGTTTATAGAGCCTAGAACAGTGTTTGACATGTTCTTGGTGCTCCAATGTTTATTGTGCTGAGGTGAACTGAACCTCAGGTAATTAAGTTGTTTCCAGAACCTAGGAATGTTTTCAGTAAGAGCGTTTTGAATGGAATTTCTTAGTAATCTGCAGCAGTACGGTTGTATGTATTACTTATTTTGGATCAAAACCAATTCTTTACCTCACTTAACTCTTCTTGTAGGTCCAGAGGAAATACTTTATGGGAGATAAAGTCCTAAAGGTCTTTGCAGCAAAAGATGATCAGGTGAGTTGACAATGAGTCTTTGAGGTAGTGCCACAGAATTGAATTGTCATTTTAAGTGGGTTGTTTGGGAGCTTTTATAGTTCAAAATGACATTAATTCTTGTAATAAAAGTGGGAAAATTCACTGGCTTTTAATTCTGAAAATGGACAAATGATCAATGAATTTGTCATAGCGTGAGCACACAAGACCTGAGGACAGAGTCCTGCAACTGGAAACCAGGTGACTATTAAAAAAAAAATCTTTTTTGAAAAAAATGTATTTAGGCATGGGGTGAAACATTCAGAAGGGTTGGGATCAGGTTGATATTTTCATTTTCATAGACGTTGAACATTTAGTGCTGGCTGTGGCATTCTGGAGATGAGCTTTATTGACCCACTGGACCACTTCCATCCCTGAGAAATCTGTCTTTTCCACCTTCCCTCACTCTGTTCTCATCTTCCCAAGAGATTCTGTTTTCAGACTAGTTTCTGCCTCGGCTAATAGCCCATGACTGTTTCATCCTACACCCACACCTACCCTCTCTGTAAATATTTTCTGTTCAGTCTCAAGTCAAAACTTGTTATCTCCTTGGAGATGTTGATCTGAACTGAAAGATTGTAATCTACTCTATCTTTAAGATATTTAAGTAGGTGCCCAAGTCCTGGAAGTATTTGCATTTGAAATTAGTAAACTGGATATAGAATTGTTTGGGGTTGGGGGAGGGAAGTGATCTAGTCCTCTTCGGTCCTCTTCTCCTCTCTTCGGAAGGGTACCTGGTTGCTGAGCTAGTGAGTGGGCATGCCATTATTCTGTCAGACAGTTAAAATTAGGAGAAGAAAATGGCTTGGCTTCCACTCTGTACTAAATGGATTCATTTGAGCACAGTAGGCATATATGAATCCTCCAATTAGAGAGTCCTAGTTTATGGATTTCTCCTGAATCAAATCCTGTTGGGAATCAAGCGGTTCTGGTATATATTGTCAGTGCAACTTACTGGCATTTTTAACTTCTTAAGTTTTAATTCCAACTTACTGTCCCTTGATACAAAGAAAATTCTGATCACTTCATGTGATGGCTAAGTCTTATCATGTGAGGACGATCTTAACACAATACTCTGTTGAGGCACATGTGATTATCTAGACATCACAGCTAAGGGCAGTCTGTGGCTTGCAAAGTTCAAATCCAGCCTCATACTGATCCTGTAGATAATAAGGTAATTTTGAGGTCACTCAAGAAAAAAAATTTAAACTACTGATGGTAAAGGGCTACTCTTTGGTGTCATTTCTTGATGTCATTGTCAAAGAATGATATTAACTAATTGGAGCTTATGAGATAATCAGGGGAATAAGGAAACCATGTCATATTGATACTGGGGTTCTTGTTTGCAAAGAATGGTACTTGGAGTAGGGTCAGGAGTTAATCCACATTCTTTGCATATGCTTTTATCTTCTCAAAGGGCAAAGAAAGCCTGCATATATGGGACCTCTGACCATTTTCCTCTCCCTGCAGCAAAACAAATCTAGCTGCAAAATCTTATTGTATTGTATACTTCCCTTGGGGCCAGGCCTCTCCATCAGGGAGTTTGTATTAAGGTCAGGCTTGTGTGCAGAAGATCAAGCGCTTCTTTTTCAGAGTCTGGGGATCAAAACGCTCCCAGTTCCTCAGTATACACATCAGCAGGGCGCCTCACTTTAGGCTTGGCGAGGTTGTTCCCATCTGGAAGAGAAAGCAGGAACAGGCATCCAGCACTTGATTCTCTACTTCCCTTATCGGGGCATCCCCCTCTCACAGCTGGGAGACAAGATGAACAACAGTTCATCCCCTCGGGCCTACTGGACTCTAGTCGCTCCTTTACCAGAATGACCGTATCCTTACTTATCCCCTACTTCCCACTAGTTAAGGGGTGCAGGGCATCAATTTTAATGGGCTTATACTGGTGTTGCCATTCCTTACTGACTTTGGGAGTTTTGACCCAGGCTGGAATCCTCTGTTCATGTGCTCCCACATGGAACACAAAGGCACGAAGTTGGTGGTAGATTTCATCAGTGCAGTGTTCGAATATCTGTCTTATACACAATTCCACCAGGGACTAGGGGTTCCTATTCCAGCTGGACTCTGACCTTCACCAGAGTGAAGGCCTCCCTAGCCCTGGGGAAACCTCCCAAACATTGAAGGGGATTGGACAGTTTGAGTCCTACTGAAGTCTGATATAGGAGGACAAGGTGCACAGCCTGGGTGAGCAGACCCATACAAGGGGTCAAGAGGGGGGGCTCGCCTCTCGAACTGCCTCCATGCTGCAGCGGAGAAAGTGGCAGAGCCCATGGAGAACTGCCTCCAAAGAGGAGGCTGTGGAATCTGGCCGGGGCCGTAAGTCAATTGGGGAGCAGGGGTGCCAGTAACAGCCATGAGGGTGGGAGCTGATGACTCTAAGATCCAGTTCCTACCACTGCTGGGGGTTATTCTACTAGTTTCCCTCTGAAGAAAGTCTATCCTACAAGGTAAGAGGTCGGGGGTGATCTGCAATTATTGCATAAGCAGCAGCCTAGCCAGAGGTTCTCCCAGTGTCATTGATTAAATCAGTAAGAGCCAAGATCCAAGGACCACTGTCTGCTAGTTCAGTCTGCCCTTGGAGTCCGCAGATTAGGATAGAAAAGTAGGAAGTTGGCCCTGCCGCTCCTCGACATTCCTGTCCGGAGGCAGGGGATCGAGGGGCATTAGATGCTAGGAAACTGTTCACATGAGTCTTGAGACTGGTGGCCTATGCTCACCATGTTTAAGTGACCAATGGGTGCCCAGAAAATGCCTCCAAGATTAAGTGAAAGTATTAACAAAGGTGAGAGCGAGAACGTTTGCAGCCTGCCTTGCAGTGGTGAGCATTCCGTGAAGTTAACATTTGAGTCAAAGCATAGAAAGGGAGAGTAAAGGAAGTAAGGAGGCGTCTCCCACAAGGGCCAGAGTGGTGTGAGGCAAGTTGAAAGGACAGAGAAGGCTGCTGCCTAGGATACCCATTAGGGCAGTCAGGTTCTGAAGTCAGACAAGCAGACCTTTGAGAGGCCTCTTAGGTGTAGCCTCAGCCTGGACTCTTGCAGTTGTCCACCTGATCCATCAGTCCCTTGCATCCAGGGAGAGCCAGAGAGAGAGAATCCTGGCCCCCCCCTCTTTTGACTTTCCCGGCTCCCCAGGGAGATGGGGGATCCACTGAGGGAGATATGGAACCTGTCACTCCAGATTTGAGATTGGCAGCCAGGCTAATACTATTTTAAATGTCTGAGAAAAGTCTGATGTTGTGCATCATAGACGGTGACCTGGTATAAGAAAAGTGAAAGAAAAGGAGTTTGGATGTCAAAACTCACCTCTGAAGGTATCCTGGCTAAGCCCCTAAAAGATGATACTGAGGTTCTTTTTTGTGGTGTTGAAGAATGAACTTCACAAATGGTCAGGGTAGGCAAGCAGGAGAAATGGTTTTTATTCAGAGACAGGAAAGTACAGAACTCCCAGTGCACGTTGGGAGGAGCAAGGCTGCTGCTTACGGGCTCAGGTCTTAAGGGTTTTATGCCTGTTGTATTGGTGTTAGGCAGGAAAATAGATGTGCACAGGGTGGAGAGAGAATTAAGGCCAGTAAAGCCCACTACAAGGGATTCAAAGAATTAACAGTTGAAACTAGAAACCCAGAAAAGACTCAGAATTAATGAGTTAATCAGTTAAAGCTCCGAAAGGCCAGGAGCAGCTTGGCCTGGAATGTTTGAATATTCCCCCAGATAAAGAAAAATATCTGAGCACAGCCCATGTCTTCATCGTGTCAATTAGATCATGCCATTGTAAGATTTACTTTAGCCTGCTAAAAGGCCAGTTGTAAACAGCACAATAAAGACAGGAAAAATTCCATCTTAAAGCGAAAATAGCATTTTAAAACCCAAGAAGTTAAGAAGTTTCTTAACATAGTCTTTAGCAAACAGACAATAACTCAGCCCACCTTGGAAGCAGGGCAAGCGGTCTTGACTGATAGGCTCCCAGGCCAGGAAGTTGCTCTCCTGGGAAGGAATCAGAACTGTAAATTTCCTGTGTTAAGCTAATTTTGTAGAATTACCCTGAGGATTAATAGGAGAAAAAACTTAATGTCTCATCAAAGATAAACATCTTGAGACCACTAACAAGTTTGCACCCCTAGCCCTTTGTCACATTCCTGAAAAAACCCTTAAAAGGGGGAACCCCAACCTTTCAGTGCGTACCTCTCTTGGAGGTCGCCTGCACTTTCTAAGTCCGTTAACTTTTTCCCAATCTTTCAGCGTGCTTCTCTCTCTCTCTGAGGTAGTCCACACTCCCCTTTCTCTGAGTATGCACTTTCTCTCTTTAAATAAAACTTAAGCCTTGTAGGGTGCCTCTTGTCCCTGAGGTCGCCTGTACTTTTTCTCTTTAAGTAACTTTAAATAAAACTTTTACTCTGCTTCACTGTGTCTCTACCCTTCAATTCTTTGTTGGTGGGGTGGGGACAAGAATCAAGAAAAATAAACATTGGCAAGGGAGGTAAGCTGTCTGTTGTCTATAGGCTTCAGAATGCTAGCTCTGCTTTCACTAAGCTATTTTAAACTCCTTTTATTTTAAACTCCTGTGTCTCCATGGCTATGGACAGCAAACTGTTCCATATCATTGGGCTTTGGGTGGAATTTCCCTATACATTGTTTCAACCACAAGTATCCCATTTTTCTTTACATTCCTCAGCAAGGTTTTGTTCTTTTCCATGGGCCTGTATCCTACTCTAACTGGACAGGGGCTGCCTTCTGTCACTTCCCTGTCTCAGTGTGAAGACTTCCAGTAAAAGATCGCATGGAGGAGACTTGTGTAGGCAGGAAGGGTAGGAGGGATGACCGATGTAGTGGCTGTCTTCATACATTTAGTGGATTATCACATGGAACAGCAATTAAAGTAGGCTTCCTACCAGAGTCCACTGGAACCAACAAGTGATGGTTTTGTTCAAGATGGAGATTTATTTTGTCAGCAAGGATTACTATTGCCAAATGGATTGGTTTCTTGTGGGGTAGTCAGATCCCCATTCCTGTAAGTTTCTAAGCAGAGTCTTTATTTCCACCAGTCAGATTTTGGGGAGAGAAATTCATCATGTGACTTGTTAAGCTAGATGAATACTGTGGTTTTTCAATGTACATATTCTATGATCTTGTGAATAATTCCTTTTTAAAATGTTTCCTCTGGTCATTAGCATAAATTATTTTGAATAGAGAATCTTTATATGTGCTGATTTGCACTGTGTTTGAAAGAGAAAGGAAAGGAAGCTTTAGTTGAGTTTCTCACAGACGTTATGTTGTCATTCATGACCTCATCCTTCCCTACTTTAACATCCAATTGGTCCTATCAAATAGGATATACACATATTGAATAGAATATATACATATTGTATTGGTACATATCCCATTTCTGCTGGTAAGGAATGTATTAGCTCAATGAGATCAGGGACTCGTCTTTGTTTTCTTCTAGGGCCTAAGATGTGCCTGGCAAAGAGTAGGCACTAAGTAAATATTCCTTGAATCGAACTGAAAGGTAATGAATCTGTCGTGAAATCTAGAGAGGATTTTGATGGCAAGGTATTGAGGTGACAGGTTTTTAGTGGAGGAAATGGAAATATGCATAGCTAACTTTGATAAAGGTTATAGCACTGAGAAGAGTACAAAGTGTTTGGGGAGTTAGAGAGGAGAGCTAAGGCAAATCTGAAATGGAGGGATGTCAGTTCACTGAGCGTTGTTGATAGGTTAGAAGTTAGAGAGCCAGAGATTTGAAGAGGGCATTCTAGCCAAAAGGAAAGCATATAAGCAAAAAGCTACAGAGAAGGGAAAGTACAAGGCTTGTCCAGAGATAATGATCAGCTCACTGAAGCTGGAATACTAGAACTGTGGGAAGTTTTTATGGAAGGGAGTAACATGATCAACTCTGTGAACAGAGGAGACAGTGATGGAAGAGAACAGATAAGTCTGAGAGAGGGCACAGAGGTAGAACTGGCAGCGTTTGGCGAACACTTGAAGGTGAAGATTGAGTAAGGTGGCATTATCAAAGACTTTGGGGCTTTTTACTTGGTTGACTGGGAGGTGATATTCATGGAAGTAGGGAGTACAGGGGGAGATTAGCGGAAAAATAGCAAATTTAGTTTGAGTCATGAACAGTTTGAGATACTTGAGGTTTAACCATATGGGATATCCACCAGCTAGTAGGCAGTGTAAGTCTAGGTCTTAGGAGAGTTTTAAACCCAAATAAACAGATTTTTGATTCATCAGCTCATGGGACTAGATATAATACCTAAATAGAGTTTTAGAATGAGAGGCGGGGAGAGATTCAAGAGCAGAATTTCAAGATTATTTAGAAGAGAAAAGTTAGAGGAGGAAAGGCCCACAAAATAGAATGATCAGGGGAGAGTGTTGTTCTGAAGCTGGAGGAGGAGGACATATAGCGGAAGGGCGACGGTCAGTCGCTACTGAAGGTCAAACAAATAGAGTGAGGACCAAGGATCGGCAGTAGGACACCCTGGGTTACCTCAAGGTAATCTCAGTAAGGCGGGAGTCAGTCTTGGACTAGAGTGAAGAGTAATTGTGTTCTGAGCAGTGAAAACAGCAAGGCTATCATTTTATGAAATTGAGAGGTGAAGGGAAAGAAAGATATAGATAGTAAGTTACGGAAAGAGAGGGACAAAGAAACCTTTTGTTTGGGAAGGTTGAGATTTGCATTTATTGAGAGGGTCAGGGAATGAATTCAGAAAAAGAGGATTGACGCAATAAGAGGATTTAGTAAAGTTCCGGAAGAGGTACAATAAATGTTAACAAATGCAAATGTATAATGGTGGCCTTGAAGTGGGTAGAGGGTCACTTAAAAAAAAATCTGAAACAGGAAGAAAGTGGATAGCGATCTTTTAAGTATTTAGTTCTGTTGTGAAAATTCTCGCTTGTTGGGTGTGTGTTAATGCTTGCACCTTCCTTACTAGGCAGCAGCAGTCGCACTTTCCTCCCTTGTTCACGCTTTGGATGAATTAGACATGGTGGCCATAGTTCGATATGCTTATGACAAAAGAACTAACCCTCAAGTCGGCGTGGCTTTTCCTTTTATCAAGGACACCTATGAGGTAAAACCATTTTATGCATATTAATTTTTTCCCCTTCGGTTCCTGTATTCTCAACAGTGCTTCTCAACTGTTGATGTGTCTGGGAATTTCTTGGGGGTCTTGTTAAAATGCAGATTCCAATTCTCTAGGTCTGGAGTGGGGCCTGAGCTTCTGCATTTCTCACGAACTCCCAAGTCATGCAGACGCGTCTTGTCCGTGAACCACACTTTAAGTTGCAGTGAGAGAACATGGATTATGAAAGTATGCAAGGAGATTTTTATTAAATAGAATCAGTAAAGGTTAACCATGGCCTTGTTTGCCCAGTCCAGTGACCTTCTCTCACTTCCCATCCTTGACTTCTGAAAACCTCATGGGAATAGAGATTACCTCTGTTTTTATTAATGAGAACTATGGATAAAGATTGAGGATGTGATTTTTTTTGTGTGTAATCCTTGAAAATTTTAGTGTATTTAGGGCTCTCCTATTTAAAACACAGATCTAGATTCCTTACCATTTCCTATTTCTCAGAAAACTCAATTGTGGTAGAATTACAGAATTAGAAGACAAGGCAAATATCTTGACTTCCAGGTCACCTTCCAGTCATCTTGACTCTTCCCATTTATTGTCCTTGTCATGCGTTTTGCAAATGTGCTTTCGTACTCTGTGTTTTAAGTATTTTTTTCATGTTTAATATTTTTTGTGCTGTTCTCAGTTGTGTACAGCTAATAACAGAAATCAAAACACTTTACTTTCCTTGTACCAGACTTGAGCTGTCTGATTTTTGAAACACTTTTGTTGTGCCACTTGCACAGCATTTGAGACTGTTTAATATTTTCCCACTGATTTTGTTGTTTCTACTTTTGCCTCTCTTCTTTCTCATTAGTGTTTAATGTATGTGCAGCTGCCTTTCATGGAAGACTTGCGGCAGTACATGTTTTCCTCCTTGAAAAATAATAAGAAATATACTCCCACAGGTGAGTTTATTTCTATTTTGCTCACTAATTGGTTCTAAACATGACTGTTCTTGAGAAAGCACCTGTCTGCAATCACTGGTTGCTCCAGGACTTCACAGGTGGCATTAGTTAGACTGCAGGCATGCTGGTACACAATAATGGTGAAGATGATTCATAGTGTGTGTTTCCAGGAGTAGGGATTGGTTTGCCCAGAGATCTCCAAACAATTTCTAGTTTTCCCCTTCTGACTTTGAGCTTGTATCTAGGGAGCAGCTTGCTGGAAATGGATGTACATCTCATTGTAAACAGAAGGTTTGCCCCCTCTTCTATAGTGAATTGACACACAGTATCAAACCTATGATACTTTAGTGTCCTGTGTAAAATATATGATGTAACTTTGAACAAAAAAGTGACAATGCAGGAGATTAAATTTTCTCTTTGCCCTTTCTTTGTAGTTTACAGTAACAGCCCAAGTCTCATTGTTCCTTATTTCTAGGAGTTACTTTGAGCTTGATGAGAAAAGGCCTTTATTAAGTAAACATCTGGTGGCTGCAAATGTCAGGGTGCTACATAGAATGATTCTTACAGATGCAGAGCCTGTCTTTCAGAGAGATCAGTTGTAATAAGTATAGTAGTGGATCAAATGTAGAGAACATAGCAAAAAGAACACAAAGTGATGAGTAGCTGTTTTAGTCTGCAAGTTTAAATCTGTGTCAGTGTAGGTTTAGGGAATTATGAAGTGAATCTCAGAATTGGGTTCTCTCTGTATATTTTTCTTAGACCTTTTGGGAGCAGTGTGCAGTAGAGAAGCCAAGAATCAAGTGGGCCCATAGGGCTTGCATCTTCTACAAATGAGTCTTTCTGTGTCATGGTGGAGCCAGGCATGGACAGGAATGTATAGAAGCCACCACTGTGTTACAATATTCTGTCTCTACCTCTTGCTAATTCCAAACTTTAAATGAGTAGAATATATAAAAAAGAGAACTTTGTTGAGAAATTACACATGTAAGTCATTCAGTCAGGACTTAAAATATTAAATATCTTTCAATCTGATGATTTATTTTGTGACAGTTAACATATTTTTATTTGCATTTTCTCCACTGGAAAAATGGATCATTAAAATTGTTTGGCATGTTTTCCAAGTAGACACGGTTTATAGGGGGGTGCAGTTCCAGAGTGATCTGCCCTGATACTAGCTTTTCTAGCAGATAAGAAGGACTGAATGTTCACACACAAAGGTACCACCTCCTACCTATTGCCAGGTGGACCATGCAGTAGTCAACTTAAGATGGTGATAGTTATGCCAGTGCCTGAAACGTCTGCTGAAAAGAACGAAAATGGGATAGAAACATTTCCCGATAAGTACCTGTGGGCTCTTCCCTTCTGTAGTAGCTGTACGAAAGGGATATTTGAAAAGGTGAAGAGTAGAAGCACAATGGGCTTCTTAGGAACTGCTTTCTCTTTTCTACCTTATGCCTAATGATTATGAATGATCCAGAAATAGCACTTCAGCTTTTGACAACTAAATTGCTATGTGAATCAGCAGAATGAAAGCTACACATGGTCATGTAGGTAGAAGCATTTTGGGGAGAGTGGCCTTTAATCCACATGCTTTGGGCTGTGCCATTTCTGTTGACTTGGTAGACTTTCATTTACTTGGTTTCTGTTAGGTGTTAGGGACATAAACAAGAAGATGTTGTTTCTGCTGTTAAGGATCCTTAGAGTTTGAATGGAGTGGGCTAAGACATATATAGGTGTGCATATGTACAGGGTGTGATTACTGCTGCAGGGTTTATGAGATGAAAGAGCTCATTCTGACTTGGAGAGACTGTGAAGGAATCCGCTGACTCTGGTCCAGTGGTGGGTTGCTAAGTTGGTACACCTGGTACAGGTTACAATGAATCCTCATAAAGCTTATGCTCCATTACCAAAGGAGTTTTCTTCTCCTTTTGTGGTTTTTTTAATGTTTTTCTCCTTTAGCTAGTTGCTAATTTTCTTTAATATTAACTCATTGAGTACTGAATATTCTGTTAGGTTTTGTATGACTGTGGTGTATCCTCCAGAACAAATTTTTTGCTTTTGATAATGATATTACATTGCAAAAGTTCACTGAATGGTAGAGCTGGAAGGACCTAAGAGACTAGCTACGCTGAACAGCTCTTTTTACACATGAGAAAACTTGAGACATAGGTTAAATGGCTTGCATAACTAATATTTTTGGCAGAGCCAGGACTGTACAACCTGCCAGTAATATCTGTGAATATCTGTGAATGGAAAACATTTGTTTTTATGGAGAATAATGGAGGTAGTATTTTTTTTTGTTTTGCTGCTCTGTTTATCCCTGTTTCAGAGGCTCAGTTGAATGCTGTTGATGCTTTGATTGACTCCATGAGCTTGGTAAAGAAAGATGAAGAGGAGAACATCATTGAAGACTTGTTTCCAACCACCAAAATTCCAAATCCTCAATTTCAGAGATTATTTCAGGTGAGAGAAGGAAGATGAGCCAGTCATATTTTTTTTAATGGAAGAGAATCTAGTGTAAACTTAGGGTAATTGGTCTGTCTCAAATAGATGTCTTTATCCTCTGAGGGTCTCTGTTGCTTTATTTAATGGAAGAACAATACCTTCCTCTTCCAGCTAAAAAAGATAAAAATAGTCTGAGCTTTTAGAAAGAAAGAAGCAAAATTAGGATGCTTCTTCATTTTTTTTTTTCCTAGAGGAAGGCTAGTTTTGTTCTGTTGGCTTTTTTTTTTTTTAAAGAAGGGCTAAGAAAAAGCAGATTCTTCTTTTATGCCTTTTCCGTACTTTGCTCCCATATTTTATATGAACGAGACTTTTCTTTGTCTAAATATTTAAAGAATAGAAGAGTTTCTATGAACTATATAATAATATAACTGCTATTGAGGAAAAGTGCTTCAGTGCCATCTTGTCAAGAATTTCACAATTAAAGGTAGCATAGAGCTCAGTTAAAGAGGGTATAGTGTGAAATTATTAAAAAGTAACTAAAACACAGAAGGCTATAAAATAGGTATTTGGAATCTTGAGCCAAAGGAATTGGAAGGTGAGGTTGCATTTAGGGAAACTGAGGAAGCTGACAGGAGAGCCGACTTATGCTGAGGCTGGGGAGGGATACTCTAGTCCAGGATTAAGGTGGTGACAGTAGGACATGGCCTTCTCTCAACCTCACAGAGGTGAAAAAAACCACAAGCAGCATTTCTAGGCAAACTCTTCTCCCAGAGGAGGAGGGCCTTCTCCTGCTGGGGGTGAGGGTGGGTGGGGAGTTTGTGATGGAGTGACCATTGCTTGTCTGTCTGATCACTTCTTAAGGCTTCCTTAACTAATTCAAGCCCATATTAGGGCCTGTTGTAATTGTGAGGGTTTTTCTACTTAAAAGAAATTGGTTTTTTTGATGCTTGTAATTCCTTAAGTAGTGAAAAAAAACTATTAGTGCTAGAACTAGAAATATAAAGGTGAACATGTAAAGGCCTGACTCAATGACTATTTTGTATTCTTAAAGTAATCAGGTATAAATTAACTTGTGTAAAGTCTTTTGGTATTTTTGATAAGTGGACTACAAGACCTAAAGATCTTTGCCATTTGTAGGGAAGGAAGGAGTCAGACCAGTGGGCAAAAGCTTACAGAAAGCTTGCAGTTGGTCACTATGGAGAAAAAGTACTTGGCAGATTTATCTTCAGTAAATGTTTTTTGGATTTACAAACAGACACAAGCCATAAACTCAGGTGTTGTTCTCTCTTAAAGCTGAAAAGCACTGGCCACTTTGATTTTTACAGCTTACTTTGTTTTCTTTATGGGGGAGAGATTTTAATATGAATTACCTATATAAAGAAGTATCATTGCTAGGGCCATTATAAATTGAAGGATTTTGTTAGCAGATAGGTGACATTTTTTAGAAAAAGTTCTAATGGTGACAAGATGGATTGGAGACCAGTTAGAAAAACTGTAGTGGTTCACATGCAGACTTGGGTTAAAGCAGTGACAGAGAGATTGGAGAGGAGAAAACTTAGAAGGTAGAGTAGAAAAGACCTACAGGATTAGGTGAGAAATAGGAATTAAAGTTGACAAGATCCCAGCTTGTATGACTGGATGGATGGTGTCACCATTAACTGTGACAAGGAATATAGAATGAATAGGCAGAAAAGGTAATTCATCTGTTTTTGCAAGTGTTAAGTTTGAGATACCTGTTGGTGATCCCAGTATAGACACTCAGTGGGAGGTTGGAAATAGGGTTGCAGAGCCACAGAGAGAATTCAGGACCAAATGTATAGATTTGAGAGTCCTCATTCAGGTAGAAACACATGTGAACAAGATCACCCTAGAGACTGTGTTGTGTGAGGGGAAGACCAGAGTCCTGAAAACCAGTGCACAAGTGAGAGAGTAGAGATAGACAGAAAAGGAGGAGCTGCTAAGAAGCAAAACAGTATGTTCCTCCCAACCTGCAGAACAGTCAGAGGGGTAGAAGGAATGAAAAGAGACCATGCCTTGGCTGAGGGCACAGAAAGAAAAGAGTGGCCAGCAGGAGAGAATCATGTGCCAGACGTTGCCCGTGGGTCAGTGAAGGTGAGCATCCCCAAGGGTCTTTGGGGTTTGTAGTGAAGGCTTTGGTGACTTTGAGGGCCCAGGGGCAGGAGAGTAATGGGGTCAGAACCAGATTACAAAGCTTCAGGGGAAAGCCTTACTGATGAAGGGGAAGAGAGACAGGACATGTAAGCTGCAGGAGGATGGGAGATCCAGGAGGACTTTCTTTTTCTTTCCATGTGAAATATTTATAGCTGAGGGTAAATGAGCGTGAGTAGGGGAAGAAGGACGGAGAGATTGAGAATCAATTTGTTGGTAAGAGATGCTGAAAAATACATCTTTTGTCAAGTGTACAGTTGAAACTGCCTTTTAAATAACTGACACAATGTTGCTAAAATCAACATATTAGTAACCTAGGGGCTAGCCATGTGTTTCTCCTTCAGTTTTTCCTTTAGTCTTTTTCAAATTGTAAAAATCATGTCAAGAAATAACTGTTTAAAACAGAAATGAGTAGATTGAGGATCAGCTTTTCAGCTACTAAAAAGTGTCATTTTCTCTTAACCTCATCTGTTCAGTCATTTGGGATTTTGGGATTGAATGAATTTTATAAGTATCCTATTCAGCTTTATCTAAAATGTGACTTTTGAGAAAACATGTGAGATTGATGCTTTAGGACATCTCTTGTGGGTCCTTTATGACTGATGGATGATGACACTACTTGAAAGAATTGCCTAGAGTTCATATTGGAAATCTGGTATGTTTTTCAGTAGAGGGGCTGGGGAGGATATTTGTCCATTGTTTGTTCTAGGTCTTTAAAAAAAAAAAAACTTGAATATCACAGATAGAAACTTAAGGGTGTGTGAAAGGTAGCCTGCTATGTTGGGTGTTGTATTACTGCTTATGTCTATAGTGCTTTCTGAGTTGCTGTAGATATTTTAATGACCTGAGGGAGGGCATTGTGAATTAAGAATTATGAACAAATAAAAAAGGTCAAGGATAGAGTCACAGGGTTTGGGGTCATTTTGGTTTCCCCTTTTGATTCACATTAAACAGGCCTGATGTTATTGATGCTCAATGGAAAGTCGAGTAATTAGGAAAAACAGGAGCCAGACTCTGAAACGAAAGAACACATATGGAGAAGGGAGACTGATTGGTGTATTGAAATAAGGGAGCAGCATGTGAAAGTTCTAGAGGAAATTGGTACTTACTTCCTACCATAGGGTTTTCTGAATTTGTAGGACATCAACTCAGATGATATTTACTATTTAAGCCTAAGTATCTTTTATTTTCTTAGAATGGAGACTTCACCCTTGCATTTTCTACAGGGTAGGAAAACAAGCCATGATGTAGTATAAACCATATGCCTTGTGATATGGAACAGTATTTTGAAACTGCAGGAGCTATTCACATTTACTTATGAGTATGTTGTTTAAAGGTGGGAATGGTAGGAACCTTGTTCTCCATCCTAATTTTGAAATTATTCTGTAACAAGGGAAGGAAAACATCAATTGTTAGTTTTATTTTTTCTCTCTGTCTTTTTTTTTGATGGTACTTCATCTCATTGCTTACCTTTCTACACTCATTTTGAAGTATTTACTGTTCTGGGAAGGTACCAGTACTGCCAAGGCCTGGCTTAGTAGACTGAAAGCGGTATGGGTGATTGAGTAGAAGTGGCTTGCTGTCCAGATTGTCTCTCGCGTGAGCAAGGAGAACCTGCCCTGGCCTTGATCCTGGCCACACTCTTCATGCTGCTTCCCAACATTTCTGTCAACAATGAGAGTAAAACACTTTATTCCTTCAGCCAATACCGACTGGGTACTTATTATGTGCCAGGCACTATTTTCAGTACTTGGAATTCAGCAGTAAATAAGAAACAAGATCTCTACTTTCAAGGGGGATGGTTAGATAATGAACAAGTAAGCTGAAAAAATGGATTTAAAATTTTTTAGATAATGATGAATGCTGTAAAAAATACAATACAAGAGTCATGATAGAAAATGGCTGGGTGGTAGGATGGGGGGGGGAGCTCCTTTAGTAGTGTCAGGGAAAGCCTCTGTAAGGGGATCGTATTTGAGCAAAGAGCAGAAGAATAGAAAGGGTCAACTCAGCTGAAATCTGGGCAAAGGCAAAAGAGGCAGAGGAAGCATCAAAAACAGTACCCAAAGGCTGGAATGCGCTCGGCATGTGAGAGAAGCAGGAAGTGCCTGGTCTGGCTGGGTTGTGAGGAGGAGGAAGGCACGCAGGGACCACCTTACAGCCTGTGCTAAGGAGCTCGTTCTACGATGGCTTTAGCTACAGGAGAACAGTGAGAGTAGATGCAGCAAGACCAGTTTGAAGGTGGTTGTGGTAGCTTACAAGAGAGGTGATGGTGTCTGGGCAAGAGTGGTGGTGGAGGTGGACAGAAGCTAACAGACTGGTGGAGAGCAGCCCCAACTCAGCACTCCAAGGAGATCTGGGACGGACCCATAGTCTCCCCGATTTCTTCCTGGGGTGCACTGAGCCTGGGCAGCTCCCCTCTAGGCACATGTTTCATCCTCCACACATTGTTTGCTAAACTGTATGTTGAAAGGAGGTAAAAGGATTATAACCAAAGAGTTATAATCCCAGATGGTTAGGGGCTATGGAATTAAGTGTTTTAGGGAACCTCATATATTCTCCAAGTAATTAAAGCAGCAGCCTCTCGTTATACGATGAGGCTCTTTTCCAGGAGGTCTCCAGCTGTCACTGCTGCCAAGCTTGGATCTGTTTTACAGCTGGTTTTAGACATGACCAATGTCCTGCTAACTAAGGTGTTCTGGGCCTCCCCTTCTTGTTCTCTTTTACATACGGTAGGAACCATAAAGCACTTCCAAACTGAAGACCAAGAATCCCTGATCAGAAAAGTATAATGAAGATGTATATGATGTCCACATCTGCATTTTAAAATCCTTATGCCTTTTCCACAGTGTTTGCTGCACAGAGCTTTACATCCCCAGGAGCCTCTGCCCCCAATTCCGCAGCACATTGTGAATATGCTAGATCCTCCCTCTGAGGTGACAGTAAACTGTCAGGCTCCACTCTCTGAAATAAAGACCCTTTTCCCTCTGACTGAAGCCATCAAGAAAAAGGATCAAGTGACTGCTCAGAACATTTTCCCAGACAAGTAAGTACTCAGTGTAGTTGCATTTGATTTTGGAGTACATGGGATGGGTGGTAGTCTTAGAGGGGCTCTGGAATGAAGGTTTGCATGTGGGTTTGTGGAATTGCAAAGGTGGGAGGAAGAAACCTTTTATTTGGTCCTTGCACTGATAATAGTGGTTTCTCTTTCATGTGCATTGTAGATATATTTTGTCCTTGCTGTTCACCTGGAATTTAGAGCTACCTTCTGGGTTGTTGACTTTGATCATCAGGTTCTTGGTGACTTCTATGTATAGGAAGACTGTACAGTTTTTGAATGTTGAAGACTAAATTTTACCATTTCTTCAAGTAGAATGCTGGGGATAAGAGGAGAGGGGTGAAGGTCGGAAGGTATTTTGGTCAGGAGGTGGACATCAGGAGAGTATCTTGAGATTTTTGGAGGGAAAGGAAAGGAGAATGAAAAACCTGACCCTTTAGTAGCTGTGCTGTTACTGGGTCGATGCCACACCTGGTTATACAGTTAGTGAGGTATGTGTAGTTGAAGGATTGCAAAATGCTTTTCATATAATCCTTAAGTCAAATTAAGCTTTTAGGTAGCTATGAAGTTTCTCTCCCTCATGGATTCTATCTAGAATCTGTATCAATTTCCATTCCAAGCAAAACAAAAACCATATGAAATTGCTCATGATTATCTAGAATCATTTGGGTGAATAACTGATTTTACCAGGCTTATGTTTGCTTGTTGGTGACTCTTCTCCCCACATCAAAATGATGTATTTTTCTTCTTTTCTCTTTGATTACCTTCCCACAGCTGTATTTTTATTGACAAGGTAAAGTAAATTTGTAAATACCCCATTGTAGGAGTATTGAGTAATTTCTGGTAACCTTGACAAGGTTCTGTAAATTGTTCATTGAGTGACTTATCTTTCCAGCTGAATAGAAAGCTTTGCACTTTCTCTAGACTTTTAAAGGTTAATACCCCAAGCTTTGTCAGAATTGGGAAAAACAAACAAACATGGGATTGATAGGTTCTATTATGTGTGTTCCTAACACAACCCAGAGAGCTTCAGGTTTCTTTTTAGTCTATCATATCACTTTCTACATAGGAAGACTGTCACTAAAAATCACCTTTCCCTCTGCTATCCTCACCTACCTAGATCCCTCTGGATTAGTATTTTACAACAGTTCAATAAAATGCTGAGTCCTTTTCTTCCCATGATGGCCTTGCTTTGTCACACTGCAGTCATATGGCTATTCTCTCTGTATTATCGCTCTGGGTTTGTGATTTTGATTGCCTTCTGGTGTTATGGGAGGGAAACAGGCCATTTTCTCCTCCTCCTGTTATTAAAATGTAAATTAGCTGGTTAAAATCCACACTGGCATAGGCTCAGAAGACTGTTGGTCTGTGATTTGAGCCCTGCTGTGATCACACCTTCAGCTCTCTCGCTGCCACTCACTCTTCGGGAAGATTCCATGTGCTGGGTTTGCTCTTTGTTCCCATAATGTTGTGTGACGTAGCAAACTTACCTGCTTGGGGCCCGAGAATTATCTCTTTCACACACTTACTCAAACTCCTGTTCTCTATCCTTTCTTCTCAAAAATCTTAGGTTTTAAGAACTGCAGAAATGACACAGTTAACTAATATTTATTGGTACCTCCTATATTCAAGAATGATTCAGTCCCTTCTGCAATGTTCTTAAAGCCCTCAATTTTTATGATAAGGCTCTGGTCAGCTCTAGGGGTAGTCTTCCTAAGGGGGATAAATTACTAGTAACTAGCTATTTATGTTTTTTGTGTATATTCAGCATCTGTGTGTCCAGGGAACATATTTCCAGTGGAGAAGTGAAGGGCTAAGATTGGGGAGTGGGCAAATGTCTGTTTAGGAAGTGTCAGAGGCCAAGATGAGCCCCAAACTGGGAATCACTAGTTTTCATTCCAGTGTTTTCACTCTTGATCTGAGTTTAGTTAAATAAATTTACACTTATGAGAGTTTCTCCATCTAAAAACAGCCTCATCTCAAGAGTTATTATTACAATGAAATCACAAATATTTGAGCACTTTGAACTATTTAGAAGGAAGGTAGTAGTCAAAACCCAAAGCAGTAATAGGCAAAATCAGTAAAAACATTGAACATTTGAGAAGATACACTGTTCACATACTGAACCTGTTCAATTCCTAGTGTTGAAGTCATTTCTTCATTTCAAGAGGGTAATAGCAGCATGTGACGTTGGCGGCCAAAAATGTACGATGCTTTACCCTTATATAAAAGCATTGCTTCCCTGAAGTGAAAATGTCATCTCTTGGACAGAGAACTTGCATGAGAATTAGGACATCTGTGCAACTAACTCATGTGTAATCTTCATTTCTTTTCGTCTCTATGCAGATAGTCTAAAGTTTTCTCTCATCAAGTCCCCTAAGACTCCTCCCTACCTACTCTCAGCAGCCACTCTCACCTGGTTACTGGCTAAGACTCCAAAGTCAGGCAATGTGAGTTGGCCCCCTTGCTCAGCAGTGTGACTTTAGGCCTGTGTTGCTCGTCTTCTGTAAGCCTCAATTTCCTCTTGGGTAAATAGGGTTAATAGGAGTGTCTGTCTCATAGGGTTGTCCTGTCATAGGGTTAATTGACTAATAAATGCTGGTCACTGTTGTATCTCTAGAACCAGGCCCAGTACCTAACACATAGAAACAGTACAGTGTTGTGAGGAAATTATTCACAAAATCCTAGTCACATCCTGGCACGTCGGTGACAACTATGGCAGTGATGATGACGGTGGCTGTAATTTCATAGAGAATTTCATGGGGGTCGATAGATGGGACTTCCTCAGGTTTCTGGCCCATCTTATCTAAAAACCTATCTGTATTGCAACTCCTTAACTTCCTTCTTTCCTGTGTGAGTGGAAGATGGTACCTCATCCTGTCCAAAGTCAATCCTTCCACCTGTCTCCCAGGATACTAAATTATGTCTCATCTGGTGCCTAGTCCATTAATAATTTTTTTCTGTATTTTCAGCTTGTCCCTCTGTACCACTTTCCGTCCACAAACTAACATTTTTCTTTCCTCTAAAACAAAATAAAATACTCCCCTTAGCTTCCTCCCTCTAATTACTTCCTGTAATCCTCTTCTTTGCTTCCATAAGCCAGGCTCAGTGGAATGAAAGTCTACACTGCTGCTTTTCCCAGAGTTCATTGTCTCGGACTTCTGCCCCCACCACTTCCCTGACATGGGTCTTCCAGAAGCCACTGCCTGCTGAATTCACTTCAGCTTGGCAGTCCTTTTCTCCCTTGACCTCTTAGTAGCCCTTGACGTTGTCAATTATTCTTTGCATCTTCAAACTCAAATATCTTCTTTAACTTCAGCTTCTCCAGATTTTTCTTCCTAACTCTTTGACAGTCCCTCTCAGGTGCCTCTGGGAGCTGCTGCTCCTGCCCTACCCGCCTCATATGTTGGTGTTCAGAAGGCCTCCTCCTCAGCAGGAGCTGACACTGGGCACAGATAAGTGCTGAGTGCTTTAGGTGCATTGTCTGTTCGGATCCTCTGGGCCATCCTGTGGAGTGGGTTTATTTACCCTGTCTTAAAGCTGAGAACACCAAGGCTTAGAGGAGATGAGAAACCTGCCCAAGATTGGAGTAAGGATTTAAACACAGGGCATTCGGACTCCCAGCTTGCCTTCACAATCATTATGCCATATTATCTTAGCAGTGCATACCCTGAGACCTGTAGTTATTTCACATACAAGTCTTCAAGAACTACTAAATATGTGTCCATTCTAACCTATTCCATCCTGTACACTGGATGTCTTAAGGTCAGTATGTCCAGCAGTGATTTCATCACCTTTCTCCTTCCGGCTCCTTTCAAGCCCATCTTCATGCTGCTGTTCTCATGCCAGTGACTGGCACCTACTCTCCAGGGAGTCTTCCCACTTTGCATATCTAATTGTTTGCCAAGTTGTATTAGATTTCCCTCAAATCCAGTCCTTTTGCTTCAGATTAGTATAGTGGCTAATAGCATTGATTTTGGAGTCAAACAGAGTTGCATCAAAACCCAAGCATTTCCCTTTAGCAGTGGTTAAAACTGACAAGTTGCTCTGTGTCAAGTGGTGGTAACAAATTCCTGCCTTTTAGGAGGCTGTATAGGAGAGTGGTTAAGAATACAGGATTAGTTGTGGACCCCTTACTAACTGTGGGCATTAGACAAAGTCAGGCCCTTTAAGAACCTTGGTTTGCTCATTTTCAAAAGGACAAAAATAATAGCTAATGCACAGGGTGGTTGTGAAGTTTAACCGAGATGTTTTAAATATGCTTAACATAGTGACTAGCTCCTGGTAAGCATTAAAAAAAAAAGTTAGCTGTCATTAACATCCCCATTGCTTTTATGAAGGCCTCAATTTAGCCTGCTTACTGAGATAACCCCTTCACTGATTTCCCTCATACCAATCTTACCTGAGTGATATTTTTAAAAGCCAATCTGATGACATCATTCCCTTGCTTAAAATTCACTAATGAAATGATTCTTAATCTGTGTGTGTGTGTGTGTGTGTGTGTGTGTGTGTGATGGACTGTGAATCCTGTCCCCAGGAAAATGCTGTAACATACTAAGTTTTGCGTATAATTTCAGATGGTTCATAGATTCCTTGACACCATCTTTGACCCCTGATTAAAACCTTTGCTTTAATGACTTTCCATTACTTTCAGCTTAACACCAAACTCTGTTACACAAATGAGAAAACCCAGATAAGCAGAAATCCATATTCCAGCTGCCTAAAGAACCACTTTCTTCCCTCACAGTTTCTCTGTCTGTGATTTAGGTACTGTAGTTTCCCTTATCTGTGGGGATACATTCCAAGACCCCCAGTGGATGCATAAAACTGTGGATGGTACTAAACCCTATATATTCTATGATTTTTCCTATACATACCAATCTATGATAAAGTTTATAGATAAGATGGAAAGATGCTTATAAATTAGGCACATTAAGAGATTAACAACAACTAATAATAAAGTAGAACAATTATAATAATATACTATAATGGAAGTTAAGTGAATGTGGTCACGGTCTCTCAAAATATCATGTGCACTCACTCTTCTTGTGATGATGTCAGATGGTAAGGTGCCTTCATGGCGAGATGAAGTGAGGTGAATGACACGGGTGTTGTGATGTAGCGTTAGGCTACTGTTGACCTGATTCGTCAGGAGCAGGAGCATCTGCTTCCAGAGCATGGCTGGTGACAAGTTACCATGAAAAGGTTTCAAGGTTCCATGAAACCATGGGAAGCAAAGCCACAGACAAGGAGGGGCTGCTTGTCTTTTCTGTCCTTATTTCTCACTACTAGTCAGCTTTCACCTCTTGCCCCAGCCAATATAGCTACTTGCTGTCCTCCCAAAGGGACATGCTTCTTACCACAGTATTTTGTTAATTGTCCACTCATATTTATCTTTTTTATTTTACTGAACTTCTTAAAGGTGTTAATTGTGTATTAATTATATATTTGGAGTATAGAGCCTAGCTTAGTGGCTGACACATAGTATTAGATAAATGTTTGGCTAAATAAATGAATTACAAAATGTATACAAATTTGCGAAAGAAAGTGAGAAAAGGAGAAAGAATGATAAACTACCCATGGTCCCAGCATCCAAATGATGCGCTTGTTACCATTTATATGTCTACTTGATCTTGGGTGGATAATTTCTACCTTCCAGGGCTCAGCTCCTTTATAATTGTTTGGGGACGACAGTCATTGCCCTTCCCTACTTCAAGTAGACCTTATAAGTTTAGTATAAGTAAAATTCCAATAATGCTATTAAATGATTCATCTGGAGAATATTAGCCAAATTACTTTGTGCTTATTCCTGGGCCTGCCTTTACCTGCCCAGGTTTGGAGAATTGGTATATATATTTTCTTATTCTTCCTTTCCTAGAACCTTATTTTGGAGGGTTTAAGAAATTCTTCATGTGATTCAATCTTGTATTCTCACAGAACTTAGCATAGCGCTCTGTATGTGTAATGCTTTTTAATCCTGCTGTATAAGTTCATTTATGTTTTGAACAGAATAGGTGAATAGTTGATGTACTCATGGTACTTACTATCTTCACAGTGTCTTCCTGAGGAGCCAAACTGCAGATCTGAAAGAGTAGTGACTTACTAGACTCTGAACTCTAGTTACATAAAAACCAGTGCACAGTCAGTAGCCTCAAGAAAGTGTAAGATTCCAGGGCTAGTCAGTGGTAAAACTGGGATTAGAATCCTAGGAGTACGTCATCTATCTCTTGGGAAGAACCAGCAAATGTTAACTGAAATGGCTGTGACTTGATTTTTTTTTTAACAGACTCAAATTCTGATGGAAATTTATGCTTCCTGGGGTTTGTGCATTTTTTTTCTGTTTTTGCCATCAAGGCTTTGTTTGTTTCTTATTCTGCTTGAAGGAAAATGGTTTGGATGACTCACCTCTTTTATGTTCCCTGGTCCCCATCCTTCTGTGTTCTACATACCTCTTCATTACTTCTCAATAGGAAAAACGCAAGTAGTGAATGGAAAAAATGTCAAATAATGAACTTTCAATTCATGTTTGTAGGGCTGTAATGGTTTCTTCTGTCCTTTCATCTAATTGTAAGAGGAGATTCATCACTGAAATATCATTGAATAAGCCAGCTTAGACCTTATTTTTCTTTGCTTTATTTTTTAGGGTAACATCTTTTTCAAGCCTCACTGTCTAAAGGTTGGGATTTTGAACAAGAACACATCACATCTGAGTTCCTAATTTCCCTTCTCATCCAGCCATTTCTTGGCAGCTGCTTTCGTTCCAGATCGAGTGTTTGAATCTTTGAATCTGTTACGTTCAGCAGTTTAAGTGAGATTACAGCAGAGTCTTTGGATTTGATTTTCTTCTCCTTTGCATTTAACTTGACCTCTTCTGGAATTTAAGGCAGACTGTTAAAGCCGGCATGTTATTTGAGGCGAGATGTTTGATGCACTTCCTTGGAGTCAGCTTTCCCTTACCACACAGATGCTGCTGGACTCTTGTTAGCATAATGCCCAAAACAGAATCAGGTTTATAAAAGAACAAATTAAAAGTTTTCTTTGGAAAGTTGTTTTTTATAGTTTAAGAATTCTCTTGCAAGCTCTTGCATATTTAATTAAGGATTGTCTGGTAAGTTTTGACAGCTGTAAGTAGAGCCTTGTAAAGCTCTCATACACAATGGAGAAGATGGGCTATTAGACACAAAAGTCTGGTAGGACATGGTAAGCTAAGATATGGCAGTTCTGAGACAGAAACTAGAAAATAGTATCTGAAGAGTAAATGGGTTTCTTACCGAAATATTAAGTCTCATTACCTGTGTCGGCCGTTTTGCCTTTGGAGAGGGTTTTGTGATGGACTGCAGCTGATGACTTCTGTGCTGTTGGGAAACAAGGTCAGGGTGGCTCCAGCTGGGCTGTCAAGAGCTCTGAGGCTGGGAAAGGGAGGCAGGCAGCTTGTGATGAGGGACTAAGTATTTTTGATGCTTAAAGTAAATTTATACTTTTCACAGCAGCAATTGTGGTTTTTGTATTGTTTGTTCTGTTTTAAGGGAAAAATAAAGCCTGTTTTATTTCTTTTCCAGCTGTGAGGAAGGACCCACCTTCAAAAAATTCAAGGCTGAGGAAGGGGAGGCCCCCTTCAGTATCTCCAGCCTGGCGGAAGGCAGTGTCACCAAGGTAAGCAGAACTTTTCCGGCATGATTCTCACCTCTCGGAAGGCTGGGCTTTGGGGAGGGGGCATCAGTTTGTGTTATTCCTTTAAGATACCACTTTCTCTGGGCCTTTCAGTGTATAAGCCATACAGGCCCATTGCTTTCTTCAGGCTGTTCCCTTCTTCCTTGAAGTGATTATTGTCAGTGGCTCACCTGTAGAATGATCTATATGATATATAGTACATGGAGTTCTGTAATCTACAGCGTGGAGCATCTCAGTGGTAGCGCTTTCTGTAGAGATTTTTTTTTTTTGCTTCATTTTGCAGCTTTCTGTTTATTCAAAGTAACAAATGGGGGTTGAAGATAGGAGTCTTAATCTCCAGGTATATGAGCATAACTCTCCCATTACTTTTCTAATAATACAATTTTAGAACAGGCTTCACAAGTTTAAAATTTCCCCAAGCCAAGTATCCTTTAACCCTTGAGATCTTTATTTAATGGGAAGTTTTTGGAACATGAATATATTGCCTTACATTAAGTGGCCTTACTTTGAATCATTGGATCTTAAAATTGTCCCATACTAGCCAAATACACTAGGAAGGATAATTAGTGCTCAGGAATGCCTTTGTCACACATCAGAAATACTCTCAGGAAAACTGAACATCTGAAAATGATTTGGATTTTATTTCAGTGTTTTATAGTAAAGGGAAAAAAATCATTTTTTCTGAGAGCTTTTCTGATTGCTGAAAACTGGAAACTTCCATACATCTTGTACCAGAGTTTACCAGCCATGAAAGAACCCCATTTGTCTTCTCCCTTATGTGCTGAATGATACTTAGAGCCTATTACGGTTGGAACTGGAAGACGGAAGATCTAAATGTGATCAGAATGTGCCATACTGTGTGGCAGACTTTCATCTTTGAAACTTACCAGCTAGCACTATAGTAGATATTTATACATGATCTGCTTTTACTTTGGGGGACATGTTCAGCTTGGACATGTTTTTATCTTCTACTGAAACTTCAATGCCCAAGGGTCAGCAACAGTCCCTCAAAAAGGGCAGTTCTGTGAATCAAGCACAAGACTCATGGTATTTCTCATGTCACATCATAAGTGGGATACGTATATTCTGAACTGACACCACTGCAGAATCTTCCCCTTCCTAATTGGTTGGGTGTCAAGATGCACAGGCAGTGTGCCACTTAAAGCCTTCAAGCTAGCCTGCCTGGTGGCTTGGGTTGTAATACTTCTGACCCCTCTAGAAAGAAGTCAGCGTGTATAAAGAGAGGTAAGTGAAAGTACAGACAGCAGCTTTTGGCCACACGAATCTGCTAGCTTTTAACAGAACCTTGGAAATGAAAATGAATAAAAAGGGCCTTAATCTTTGTCTTTGGTATTATTTTATAAGAGCACACTTACTATGTTAAACCATCTTGTACTGCCTGTGGTGCTGCCAAAAAGAGAAGTAATCTGCAGGTTTATTGTCTGTGGGTGTATTCTAGGTTGGAAGTATAAATCCTGCTGAAAACTTCCGTGTTCTAGTGAGGCAGAAGAGAGTCAGCTTTGAGGAAGGTGAGTTGATCCCAGAGACTCTGCATTTAACAGAAGGTGCATAATTAGGTTAATAAATTTAAAGTATTGAGTAAGAAGTACAGCCTTTTGTTGTGATGCTTTATATAGCAGTTTTCTTCCCTGGTGGATCTTTGTGATTGTCCTTTCTTAGTGAGCAAGCAACCCAGGCAATGTTACGAGTGTACAGGGGCCAACTTGGCACAAGCCTTCCCAAAGAACTAATTGTAGGTCTGTCTGTTAAGAAAACTGTGAGCCAGAACCTTGGAGCTTGGGTTCCACTTCACTGAAGTTCTTTAGGGGTCTTGGGAGTGAGCTTGGAATAAAACATGTTTGTGTCATTGTTCCCTATTTTCAGAGACACACAATTCTTCTAGTCTTAAGGGTTTGAGCCCCTTTACAAAGTCCCAGGTACACCTTGCTGCTGTGCCTAGATTTGATCCTTCTGAAATTGATTACATCTTCACATTTTTCTCATCACTTAAAATCTTGAATTTCAGTTAGGCTAGCGCTAATATTAAAACAGCTTTCAGGGATGGACAGAGGTCTGGGACCAACATTCATTCACTTGATTGCATGTAAGTGTCTATTCATTTGCCCTTCAAAGGGTGGCCGCTGGTAGTTTTCATCCTACAGATTTGTGTGTACAACAGCATTGCATTCATTATTGCTCTCCAGGGTCAGGCCTGTCCGAGCTGCCTTGTGTGTGAGTGTTTATGTTAATGTGTGCACAGAACTTTCTGTCCCGCCTTCTTGGCATTTTAGTGGAAAAAATGACTCCTAAATATCTAGGAACACTACAACTTTTAGTTTAATCATCTATAGTATCTACCACAGGTCTAGGGGACCTTACCACTTAAGAGTCTGAGTACCCTAGCAAGAAGCCTGGATCAGCTGTGCTGTTGCCCAAAGACAGCCGTTGCCAGCTGCACCTCGGAGAGTGCACCCTCTCCCAGGTCCTGTGGCAGGATCACCGGAGGCCAGGCCTGGGGGACCTGCCTGAGGAACATTACCTTGGCAGCATGGAAATCTGCCTTCTTCAGGCAGATGATGTGCGTATGTTCTGTGTTTTGAGATGGAGAAAAAACTTTTTGCCCTGGTAAGAACTGTCACATAGGAGAAAAGTTTTTGAATTTTAACACAAAATGAAACTACATCTAAGTAGGAGGAAATCTAAAGTTAAGGGGACAGTTTTCCAAAAGAATTGGTAGAAACAGTATATCAGAATTTCTCTCCTTCATATATTGCGGTGACCAAAGGAGGCTTCCACAGCATTGTACTTGAGCTGTCGTCTTTTTGGCTGCATATTGTGACTGTGTTTGGAAGGATGCAGAGACATTACTGTACAAGTCAATGAACATTATTGTCTGTCATGACTTTAGTGTTTCTGAAGAAGGATTGAAGCCTTCTTTGCTTTTGACTGTATGTTGTCGGTTACCTCAGCCAGAGTCAGAGGTGCACCCTCTGGAAGTGCCAGGTCTCCCTGGTGCGTGTAGGCACAGTCTCTTCAGGGACTCAGTCCAGCAACAGCATCCCTGTAAAGGCAGCCACTAAGTAGTGCCTTCCACGTCCGAGTCATTGTGCTAGCACATTATTATAGTCTTCATCTCAGTTATCCCAAATAGCAATCCTGCTGAGTCACGTGAGCAAGTGGAGAAAATTTTAGAGCTTTAATACCAGGTGCCAGAATCTTTTGAAAAAGATTGTTTTTATTGGTAAAATACTCCAATAAGTGGTTGAGGGGAGAGACTGAATCTCTGTTCCTGGGCTTGGTTGTTGGTCAGTGCTTGGGTTCAGGGGACGGGGAAGCTACTAGTGCCATAGAAGTAGAAAAACTGGAGCTACTTCAGGAGAGGAAGGGATGAGGAGAAAAGGTAAGAGGGAGAGGAAGTGAATGAATTTATGTAAGGGCACAGCATTCTCCAGTTTCTTCCCAGCTCACGACTCTACATGTTCTTTGTCAGTAAAACTCTGGAATGCTTGGTTTGAGTGCTGTATTTAGGGAAATTGGTGAAGAGACAAAGCTTTGGATCCAGAATTACGTTAGGAAGAGAAGTAAAAAGACCTGAGAGCACAGGAGACCAGAGTCTGAGAGATAAGGAGATCACAAATCCTGATAATTTGCTCACATATTGGGAAAACATGTTTCCCCTAGGCCCTAGAATTGGGGGTTCAAAACAGTCTAGTGGAAATAACAAAAGCAAGTGACTCCTAGATGGCATAGAGGTTATAATAGGTAGTATTATCCCCATTTTTCCATTATGGAAAACTGTAAAACTGGAAAAGATAAACTCCCCAAAAAACCATATAGGGATTCAAATCCATGTCTCTTTCCAAATACCAGATTTTTCCACTTAGCTGTACTGTTTCTCCTGGTTCCTAATGCCCTCCTTTCCTAACACAGTTTTGTTTTGTTTTCTTGTTTAGACATAATAAGGTCATGTGTTCTGAATGTGCCTACAAATAACACTTTTGATGAGTAGACTGTCCATTTATGCTGAGTGCTGGTGGGTCACTGGTGTTATGGTGGCGGGTGTCTCTGCAGCTAGGACTTGGTTGTCACAGCTCTCTGGTGACCTCCAAGGCAGACTTTCTGCAGAGCTTTGGGAAAATGGGACTGCCCACTTGTTAGCAACTGTAGTTGACCCTTGGACAATGCAGAGTTAAGGGTGCCAACGACCTATGCAGTCAAAAGTTCACATATAATTTTTGACTCCCCCAAAACTGAATTACTAATAGCCTACGGTTGGACTGCAAGCCTTACTGACAACAGAAACAGTTGATTAACACCTGTTTTGTGTGTTATGTGTATTACATACTGTATTTTTACAATAAAGTAAGATAGAGAAAAGAAAGTGTTTGTTTCAAATTACCACAAATCTCCAAAAATTTTTCCAATATATTTATTGAAAAAACAAATCCACGTGTTCGTGGACCTGCGCAGTTCAAAACCACATTGTTCAAGGGTCGGCCATAGTTCTGTTTCGTGGTCCTAACTTGGCTTTCCTTTAATCCATCCCTTTCTTGCTTCAAGTTCCAGAAGTTTTGTTTCTTCATTACTTTTCCTACCTTCATTCTGCATGGGCATCTCTTTACTCAGGCCCTTTTTAAGCCAAGACTCACATCCCTTGTAAGCCCAAAGGACTCCAATGTTTAAGCCTCCCTGGTATTGATGTTCTTTATCCCTCCAGGAAATCTCTGCCTAGGGTCAGGGGTAGGGAGAGAAACCCTCTCTTTCTCAAGTATATCTGTTTTCTTTTTTGATTCAGTTGCTAAAGCATGATCAATAATAGATAGTTGGTGAGTTTGTTTACCTTTAGTTAGAACTTGGCCCTTTCACCTATTGTTGTAAACTAATGTGTGGGTGTAATTCCTTTCTCTCTGGGCTAATAGTACTATACTCATACTCTGAGTATGTGCTTCTGTCCCCTTGACATTAGTTGTAGGTGTCTACACATTTTCTTCTGGTTTTCAATGTGAGTAATATTTCTTGTCCTAAGCTTATTGGCATAGAGGATGTAACACTGAACCCCAGGGACTTGTTCTTTCTGGCTGCCAATGCTTCTGTAAGCTGTCTTTGATTCTCAGGTCCTCTTCTTTTACTGGTCCCTTTTCTCCTCCCTCCTTACCCACCCCACCATTCTGTCACTATAGTTTTACAGTAGAAAAATCTTGACTGTGGCTGTGTATATAACAATCATCCCTTAATTGTGAAAGCAGAGTTGATTCCCTCACACGGTATTCATCAGCACACCAGTGCCATCCTCGTGGACTGTGACCTGTAGATGTGGGTTTTTGGAAGAACCTGAGTCCACAGAGTTCTCAGCGACTCCTCAAACTGAAGGTACCACTTACGTGAACACCCTCCTCCACAAGCTGTTCAGTAGAGCTGCTGAGGAGGAGAACCGTGGATCTCAAACCCTTTGTCCCTTCCTTGCTTCTAATTAGGAAGAATGCTAAAATGGCCAAAAGATAGCAAAATGGAGGAGAAGGAAAAGCCACATTACTTCACGCCTCCAGATAACTCCTGCATGATTGAGATGTGCCTGAATCTTCAGGTTCCCCCTGGGTATGAGATGTTATGTAAGGAGCTTGAACGTACCTGGTCTGGTCTGTCAAAACAGGTTCTCAGAGGACCTTAGGAGCCAGAAGAGATGGATACATGGAGACAGAAAAAAGGATGGAATGGAACTTTGTAACTTGAGATGATGGTTTTTCTTTCGTGGACCCTCGTTTTGCTGCTTAGATTTGTAGGTTGATACCAGGCTTCTGAGTAGTGAGAGGTGGCAAAGCTCTTCCACCAAACTGAATTCACAGGAGCATGATTGGTTTAAAAAGGCAAAACCTGTCAAGAAAAGACAACTTAAGTGGAAATGGTATGGATTCCTACTTGGGGTCTGATACTTCACATCAGGCTTATGTACAGTGAGCGGTAATTTGCACATACCCATCTGATTAGATGAAGGTGACTGTTCTGTGGCTGCTGAGGAATTTCATTTCTGTCATATCTCTTCCCTCACTTTGGTTGGGTCATGACTCATTCTCAAGTCTTCCTGCCTTTGTTTTCCAGCCTACCGTACTCTCACTCATCACAGTGTCCTTTCAGTTTTAAAGGGTATTTCCTAAAAATTCACTTTTCCAAGACCTTTCAGCACTAGGTAGAATGATAGTAATAAAATTACATCATTTGTCAAAGAAGCGACTTTCTTCAGTTCTGTGTTCATATGATATGTCTCTGTCCCATTTGCACAGCAGTTTCCTTCCATGTATTATATGATTCTCCACCTTGAATCAAGCCCTCAACTGTGGATTCTCAAGAATTGGGATCAAGGAGAAGTTACCCACATGTGTTTTATTTTTTTAATGGGTCCTGATTTGTGTAATCTTAGGCATGAATTATGTAACCTGCCCTGGCTTTTTCCAGATAAAGATCAGAAGATAAAAGTAAGGCCTTAATCTGTTGTTTTGCACAGAGCTGGTGAATTTTTAAGAAAAGTAAGTTC